ATCAGATAGAGGATTCCTTATATTGCGTAACCAACACAGCTTAACTATAAATAAATAAAAACAGCCTTGGTACCTGAGTCAAGATTGTCTTTGTCGATAGACAAGATTAATGCCATGTATATGTTTTCCATGCAGTGTTGAAATGTCTAACCTAATCGTTTTGATCGTTTTTCTTCTCTGATGAGTCATGGCAGGATCCTCTGCGGCATGGGGCTCCTATTGTACTGCACGGCATGACTTTTGCTATCTACTCCTCTCGCCGCACGACAGAGCTTCATGACCCTGGGGTTTGAGTCCCTGCATACCGAACGGTAGCGCTAATGGCGACTAGAGTAGTTAGATTGAGAGTAAGTACGCTATTTTCATATTTTGTAACCATTTCCAATGAGCTTGTGTTCAACGATGCTGTGCAAAGCTTGAGCAGGGAGATGCAATGTCCTGATTATAGAAAACGATGAGATCTTTGTCAAGATTTGTGACGATGATCGAATCTAGAAGGGTCTTCTCGGTTCAGGTATCAGCGATGAGCGGCTGCGTAGTGTGCGTGTCAATCCCGTTTTTGTTGACTTATAACAATTCCCGTATCGTAGACAAGCATGAAGTCTCGGAAAAGAGACGACGAGTTAGAGGCCATACCGTATAAGAGCATTGGTCCTCTGAAGTCGCCCCTCCATAAGACCTTTGTGCGAGTGATCAGTATCAGTGGCACAACTCGAGTATGCATCCATGCTCGTCTTTGTCAACTTGCCATGCTAGAACTGAAACACTCGGACGTTGGGAATGGGTACAATAGAGCTAACGGTGGGTAAGCATCGAAATCAATGCCTGACCGCGTGACGCTGGGTGTCATCTGTGCCTGCCTCGAAACTGGGGTCCATCCCGAGTTCAGGGTTTCATCGATTGTGGAGTAGGCGACGGAAGACGGAACAGAGACCTGCCGTGGGGAAAGTGAGTGAAGTGACCGGGCAAACAGTGGTACCCAGACTATGGGGCATTTGGGGCCGCTATTGTAAGTCCCCTAGCGCATGAGAAGGGAAAGAGTCAACCGTAAATTGGATGGTACGGAGCGGATGGTACGCAGGCATGGAAAGAGATTTGACAACAGACAAAGAGAAAACATCGCCCCCGCGGATATTTGAATGAATTTCCTCAGCTTATGAGGGCTGAAGATCTCCTTCACCTGACGAATCATTTTGGTTTAGCCAAGATGGAGAATAAAGAAACTGTCGTGGCGCTACATTTAGAGTTCGATTCCATGTTCGATTATTGCATGCTCAATCCCGTTCGTCGCGTGGCTCACGTTGCGTTTCGAAGCATGAAGACCTACGGAGTAAAACCAAGTGTATTCAAATGGATCTCTTCAATCAAAAGTCGAATCTCTAATCTACGGTAGATTTGTCTATGGGTGGAGGAAGCTGCACCACAGGGAGCCCAAGGCACGTGACTCAGATGCATTGAGGATTAAATTAGAAACCTCACGTCAGTACTCATCTCTACTTAGGCCTGAGGCCATCATGGCTCTAGATTGTCAATTACCATAAGCAGCTGAAAGTTTGTGTGGTTCATGCATTGTTGCTGGGGGCTCGCATTCTTCCCAGCCGCAACATGCCAGTGCCCGAAACCTTCCTGGCTCTTTGGCATCTACGAATGACGGATGAGCAAAGCATGGTGCAAACCTGCAGTCAAGACGAGGTGCTAGCGTAATGTGATTCTGACACAGTCGAGGAGCTACTCTATAGGGAAGGAGAATCCCCATGACGCTTAGACTGGATGTATTTTTTCCGTCACTTGGTCATCTCTAGGTACTGTACTTAGCTGGCTGTCCACACACCCCTTAAGCCATTCAGTGTCCATTATGTCACCCATCATTCGAATCCACTTACTTGGAACCAATACAAACTTCTACCAAACAATAGAAAGCGGATTTGTCACCCTCGCACTGGGACCTATGATTGCGCAGCTGATCTACGTGGAAGCTGTTTCTGGTATAGTCAGGGTAGCATTCCAGCGGGTGGCCATTGGGGAACCCGAGCCCTGGCACTAAATGGAGAGGCCTCCAGCCACCAGGGTCTTTGGGCACAATGATTGGCAGTGACAGGAGGTGCGCAAGCCGTGGGTCTGTTTGTCCAGTCGATCATGGTGGGTGGGCCAGAGTGAAGTGCAGTCCATCCTGTGCCCATTTGCTGAGGCCACATTCCTCACCCATCTTTAGATCTCGAGGAATGTATGCAGAAACCCAGAGGCTGGAGGCCATCGCGACAATTCAAATAGGAGCATTGCTCTGTTGTTTGATAGCTTTGTTTTCTTTGCATCCTGTGCACTGTTTTCTTTGATTGTCAGTTTGTCAAACCGTGCCTACAGCTCAAACATTCTACCAAACATCCAGCTTCACTGCTCACTTCGACTTTTTGCCAAAACCCTACCTACCAAACCCAACCAAACACCACATACATACATACCAGCCATTCTGAACAGCTTATCGGCACCTTATCCGGGGCTTTCCTTCTTGCTCCAGACTTATCCTTCCCGCTGAGCTTAATTGTCAGTCAAAATCTAATCGTTCCAGCGGGTTTTGTTGGGTCCATCTGGCAGCTTCCCTGACCTCGATTTCCGCAAACGGAAGGGGTTTCTCCGACTTGACTCGACACAATGTTCGCCCAACCTTTGGATCACACTTTCAATGATTTATTCAACCAGTACGTCAATGTGGACACCTCTTGTGTCGATGGCAACAAAGACGTTTCATTCCCCGGCGATCTTGACCAACTATTTCAACTGGATTCATTGTCAAGCGACTGTGGCGACCTCTCACCCACCATCCCCACATCCAAGCAACAGCATCCATCCGTGCAATCGTGGAGCCGGGACTTCTGGTGTCTGGCACAGGACGCCGATGTAGCTGCCGGCCAAGGTCATCATTTCTCTTTAGAGGACACCATTCACCCCTCGGCAGTCTCGGACCTCAGCATCACTCTTGAAGCTCCCTCAGTCGCCTATACCGCAGACACCCGCACGTCCCCGTCCACTCCTCCGGCTACCCCCAGTCGCAAAGTAAAGAGTGCGCTTGTCACTCCCAAGTCGATCCGCCGTCATCGTGATTCCAATGACCGTCGCGCTTTACTACGCAAGCAAAGCTTTTCGCCCAGCTTAACGCGCTCATCTCAGATCCAACGAAGCAGGATGGCCTACCCCGAAGCATGGGCACAGCGATTCCAGGATTTCGCCTTCCGTAGCTCCGAAGCTCAGTTACCTTTGTCACCACCACCATCCGACATCCTCGTTCAACAAGAAAACATGGCTGCCGATCAGGTCGGTATGCCTATGGCGCGCTCAGCAGAAGTGCTGCCTCGGGAACCAGAAATGTCTACCCACTATGAGCCCAGCATGTTCACTCAATCTCCTGCCATCACAATGCCTTCCCCATCGGCCGGCGCATTGGCAAGGCAACAACAACGTTTCCTAAGTCAATCGAACAGCTCCACGCTGAGCACATCAAGCCCGCCTTCCGCCGACCACATCTTCTCTTCCCCGCTTGCGTCCGACCCTCAATCAATGTCCTCGTGGCAATCCGACTCTCTTGCCTCTAGCTTGCCGTACACCCCCGAATTGCAGACCCACGATGCTCAGACGTGGTGGTCACCGATGACGTCCCGGACCGCCCCGCGGCAACCCTCCTACCAACAACTTATCGCCTCGCCTTGCCCTCAGCGGCCGACTCAAAGCTCTACAAATCAACAAGACATGCTACAGGGAGGCCTCATGATCCAGTTGGATCCCTCCTCATTCGACCTCTTACAACCACAAAGTCACTCATACCCGCCATCTGGCATGCAATCCACTGCCAGCGGCGAACAAAGCCGCTCATACAGTCACGGCTCCTCTAGCATTCAGCAGTCCGTGGAATCGTCGTCCTTCACCACACCGCAACTACAAAGTACCTCACGCTCCCCATCGTTGTCCCCGGGAAGCGGATCGCCTCCGACAGGCAGACCAATTGTACAATGCCAAGGAGGCATCAAAACCCCTCGCCGTCATAGCAACGGCCGCAAACTATCAGGCAATTCCATGAGTGCTCCCAAACCAGCTACGAAAGTCACCAGCTCGGGCAGTCCTCGCGGCAAGGCCGTCACCGTCTCCTTCGTGAACTTCACTGCCAATGACAGCAAGAAGATTCTGACCGGGGTGGCTCCCAGCGGCAGCTCGAAAACGAAGGCGCGACGAGAACAAGAAGCACGCGACCGACGGCGCAAGTTGAGTGAGGCCGCGCTGAATGCCGTGCGCAATGCCGGGGGCGACGTTGAAGCTCTAGAAGCTATCCTATGCTAATAATCTTTGAACCTTCTCTTTATGCTTTTTAATCATTATTATACCTTTGTCGCGAATTTCTTTTTGCGTGGTTCAGTGCATCGGTCGTTCTTGGAGTTTGGGATTCTACATTTCACGGGTTGGAATCTAAAAAAGCGTTAGATCCACGGCGTTTGGGTTACAACAATTAGAATTAATGTATCATTAGTGGGGCTCAGATCCTTCAGAATAATTCAAGCATCTAAACTACTTAATCGCTTTCCAACTTCAAATCTTCCTCTTGTTGTGTGTATCCCTGTATCGAGCATCTATGGAAGCTTTACGAGTGTCAATTCGACTCTTCATCAGACGTCAGCAAGCACCAGGGAACGTCAAGAGGCCAGTGACATGGGTAAGCATTTGTCACGACATCTCCGCCTTCTCCGGAGTCTGGGTATGTACCTCCACTGGGGGGGTTAATTAGTGGTTGCCAGTCAGATTGTTGGCCGAGGGTACCAGTAATGGATCCAGTGACATCCGCTGGGCTGGGGCCACCACGGCGCCCACCGACCGGGTCTTGCCGGGAGTGGGTTTTTGGGCGATCATCCTCAATACTCCGTCCCAGGGTATGCTATTGCTCACAGTTTTACTCAAGTTGGATGACGTCCCTTGCCCCGGGGCCCCCGGGGTTATCCCCGCCGTCATGCCAATGAATTTCTTTGGTTGCTGAACGACTGCACCGCACCTCTCTCTCTCTCCTCGGGACCACCCAGACCTGCCCCCACAGCTTCCAAGATGTGTTTTTTTTACGGTGATGCGCATCGCAAAACACGAGAATTTCGGATCGACCTTCCAAACTCTGCAGTCACCTAGAAGTCAAGTTCTAAATGGCAATTGTCTGGTTCCCAAACTATGTCCATGTACCACAGAAGAAACCCAGTCCAAGACCCCCCGTCCGGGGAGGAGAGAAGATCCCCTTCTCTCGTTCACGCCCTTAAGAGAAACACGAGCTGCAGTATCTTGGACTTCAAATCGATCCAGATTTTCCGGTTCTCTGGTTCGCTTGTCTCGAGCGGGGGAATACTTCCGCTGCGGTGAAGTTCGGGTGGTGACGGCATGGGGGAACCGTAGGCCATGCCCCGGGGGTCTGGTGGGTTGAAAACCGGAGGGGAGGGGGAGGGGGAGGGGTCAATGTGTCACTTTGGAACTGCACTGGAGAGTAGAATACCTCTGGGAGATTGTGCAGGATTGGATTGCTTGCGTTTGTGTAGGGTAATTTGGGGGTGTTGGGCCTTTTGACCAGCTCGTATAGTTGCAAATGGCGGGACATAGATGACCTACGCACTGTGCAGAAAGGATTGTGTGCGGATGCTTCGGGAAAGCGCCGTCGAGTGGGTAAGCAGATGGATTCCGATCTGAGCTGGATAGTGGCGAAGAGTATGAGGACTTCAAGAGCGAATTTTGCGGAAAGGTATAAGCAATTCTGAGAGACTTGTTTCTCTCAGACAAGGGAAGAGACCAGTTCTTGAACAGAAAGAGTACAAGGGAGTAAGTAATCTAAAGCTACTGTCCTGATCGATGGGTCTCCTGGGATTAGGGCTTAGTGCTGCCGGGTATGAGATCCGAGGGTTTCCGCAGCCGTCCATCCTGTGAGTTACTGCACAGTCTATGCTCTTCTAAACAATATTGTGCCACAAGCAAGGAATTTTGTAAGGGTGGTAATCAGAGGGAAAGAACATCTGAAAGGAGAATAGAGTCTTTTGTACCCCACAATCTGATTATCATGTCTGTAACTTGATAGCTACTAGTATCTCATCCCACCGGCTGGCCTGACACACACAGCATTCTTTACTGTCCATCCCACCGGATAACTCTTCCATCCCACCGCTGCTTACTATTTGATGACGTGATCGAGAACAACCCCTGACAAATGAGAGGATGGGGTGAGTGTCAAGTCACCTCGGCTTTTCCCCTCAGGGCCCCGGGCCCAAGCCAGCCCCGCCAAGATACGAACCCCTCTTGTTTACAGAACTGTACAATAAATATCACCTCATCCCGCCACCACATCGCAACAATCGTAGCACTGTATCCAGCTCTTCTCCGTCAATCTTCATCACCTTAAGTCATTCACCACACATACATCTTCTCAACTCAAACCCAAGCAACAAAAATGTCCCCCCTCTCCTTCCGCGAACACATCAACCTCCCGCCCTCAACCGCCACCCTCCACGACTCCACCCTCATCATCATCGACGCGCAGAACGAATACGCCACCGGCAAGCTGCAAGTGCAGAACGTGGCCCAATCCCGCGCCGCCATCGCCGATCTCCTCGCCCGGTACCGCGCCGCCGGCGCCCAGCAGAACATCGTCCACGTTTTGCACCGCACGCCCGCGGGCGCCCCGCTCTTCACGCCGGACACCCCGCTCGCCGAGGAGTTCGAGGAGCTCCAGCCCCGCCCCGGCGAGAAGGTCATCTTCAAGCATTTCCCCAGCTGCTTTGCGCAGACGGAGCTGCACCAGCACCTGGCGGGATTGGGGGCGGTGGGCAAAAAGATCGTGCTCGTCGGGTATATGGCGCATGTGTGTGTGTCGACGACGGCCCGCGCGGGCCATGAGCTCGGGTATGAGGTGTTGGTTGTGAAGGAGGCTGTGGGCGATCGGGCGATTCCTGGTGTCGAGGCGGAGACGCTGGTGGATGTCGCGCTGTATGAGATTGGGGATGTTTTTGGGACGGTCCTCGCCGAGGGGAAGGAGATTGGGGAGTGAGAGGGGTTTATTTCTTTGAGGTATATAGTTTGGTTTTGAATTGGAGAATTGCTTTATGCTCCTCACAGAGCGTAGACAGGCGGATCGCAGCCGGTGGCTAGCTCGTAGCAAGGTGCTGCCAACCCTAAAAGCTGAGATTGATGCAGCACCTGACCATCTAATCTCCTGTCTGCTACTGGCATTGTGCATTGCCCTGAGTCGTCCATCACTTCACTAGGATCCAGAAGTCTAGCATGACTCGTATGCCTCTCATACGGTGGAGGCGGACGCGTGCCGTACTCCAGAACCTTTTCGCAAATGCTCCCATCCGGCCCTATAACCCGAGGAGTCATGTAGATGGAAAACGGGATACTGATCGCAATCTACTACCATTTTCAACCTCTTTGCTCTCGTTCTCACCAGAGGAGACAAACATACCGTATCGAACAACCGCCCGTTCCGATCCCGAAACTCCGCGCGGACCTCGAAAGCATGGTCGATCGCGACCATCTTCGTCCGCACGCTCTGCGAGCACAGGCTCACGCTCCGCGGCAGCGCCACTCGCGAGCTCACAGCCCACTCCGTGCCGGTGCAACTGACGGATCCACTTCCCCCGACGGGTGACTGTGTTTCTTTGAACAGGGAGTGGGTCCTCGAAGCGCTGACGGACAGGATATTCAGCGCTGCTTGTGCGGCGGTCGCATTCAGACGGATGTGGTGGCTTTCGATCACCTCTAATGTTAGGGCTGAGAGGTCGACGTCCTTGGATGGCGCCTGGAATCCCATGTCCACGGAGAAGATGGACCCGAAGGGGATGGTTGGGCTGGGGATCGAGATGCAGTATTCAATATTCTGAGCTGATTGGCCTCCGATCGTCTGTATAGGGCTCTATTAGCCTAGTGAGACTTGCATATGGAAAGGGAGATGGGGCGTTACCAGTGGAGATTCCGCCGACAGCGGACATAGCTCCACTTCAGGGAGCTTGTAGATACTCAGGACTTGCGATACGACAATATCTTTCCATACTCGGCGCTCAACGATGGCTTCGATCTGGTATGTATGGTAGTTGTGACCGGGACCGACGGATGTCTCAAAGAGATCGCTCGGCATCGGAATATCAAATAGAAATTTATATTTCCCCGCTGGGATTTGGAAGGAGCTGTGCGTTTTGGACGAGACGAGCTCTTGTTCTTCCTTGTAGGTGATGAGTTCTCGGTCTTCGGTGATCATTTCATCGTTTCGATTTCTTCACAAGCAAAAGAGGTTAGGAAACAACAACAGCGTTTAGGGTTTAGGTTGGGAGAAATATGTTTTACATTTTTAACCGACCGGCAAGTCTGACTTGGATGGTTTTGGCCCATATGGCTTCAGGCAGGGAAAGGAAAAATGTCCCTGTAGCGGAGAGCATGCTTCCTGTAAAGTGACTTGTTGGAAGGAAGATGCATGACTTATCCAGTCTTAATACTCAAAGGTGCTGTTAGGGCAGTAACTCGATGGACTGACGCGGTGCGACCGACATACCTAAGGTCATAACGTGCTTTCTGCGTGCGAAGCATTATTAGGATTTGGACGAAAAGTCTATTAACTGAATTATCAGACTGATAGTTTCTCAGTCCGAATGGAAATCTTCTTGTTCTGAACCCCACTGGGTTGGGTTTATTTGTTTTTCCTATACTGTCTGCTGATGAGCGGACTTGCCCAATTGGGGTCGGAGCCCCGACTTCCACTCATGCAATGATCCCGCCCTGCTTTGAGAGTAATATGAGAAATAACCTGACAGCTTTAATATCTCTTTGGATATAATCTCTCCTTACAAAAGCTCATTACTAACATCATGACACATAGATGTAGATTACATCCCACTGCTGGAATTCCTTTACTCCCACACCAAGCGCTTGACCATCTACTCTCCATCAACGCCAACACTATTGGTCACCGAGCCGAAGATCTCCAAAGCATGACCGAGATAATCTTGGACACCTCGCACCCGAGGAGTCATATCACTACCTAGAGGCAGAAGCTTCTCATTCTGATGGCTTTCCCCAACCCCCTCGCCGACAATAACCTCATACAAAGCCTGCATCGCCTTGTCCTTGTCACCGTTTGGTTTGAGCTTCCCGTCTACCAGTGTTCTCTGGACATGTTCCACCACCGTTCCCTTATAATCTTCCGGCAGGGGTTCCTTTCCCAGAGCCACCGAGTTCGGCATATTCGTGTTGAAAGTCCCGAGCACCACCGTCAGGGTGCGGATATTGAACGGAGCGACCTCCTTAGCCAGGATCTTGGTAAGTGCTGACCAGAAACCACAATTAGCAAATGCACCTCGACGAAGCAGCAACCTCCTGACACAGGTGTGGTACATACCATCCAGTCCTGCCTTTGCGCCCGCGTACACCCCCATGGTGGGGGTGCCGTCCAGCGAGGCCCCGCTGCTCATGTTGACGATCACGCCCGACTTGCGCTGGCGCATATGGGGCAGCACGGCCCGGATGAGACGCAAGGGGCCGAAGTACATCGTCTCCATCTGCGCTCGCACCTCCTCCTCGGCGAAGGTCTCGACCGGGGCGTAAATGCAGTAGCCGGCGTTGTTGACCAGAATGTCGATGTGGTCCCCGCTGCGTTCGAGCTCGGTGATGATGTCACCGCCGGTGCGACTGTTCACGTCCAGCTGGACCCATTTCCCGCCTGCAGATTCGATCTCAGTGACGAGGTCGGGGGTTCGCGAGGGATTGCGGGAGGTCGCGATGACTCGATGTCCGCCGGCTTGGGCGGCGCGGGCCAGCGAGAGGCCGAAGCCGGAGGAGCAGCCGGTTAGGAGCCAGGTGAGTTTGGTGGTTGTCATGTTGAATAGGAGGAGGGTGAGGTTAGTGATGAAAGAAAACAGAATAGGAGTATCAGCATGCTTGCTTCGCTTAAATATCACGCGCCGGGAATTACGCTGCAATAAGGCCGTGGAGATAGTTACAGCACTCACTAAGTCCGCGGACTTGTCGTACCTAACCCCGGATGACTTCCTGCTTGCTGCAGTCTACTCGATGGTTGTCCACGCATTTTCTCAGTCGCATGGCAGGCATGAGGTTAGTGAGTTGGCCTTACTGGCATCTCTTATTGAGGTTATTTAGCGGCTCGAGTAGGAGTATTTCCCCAAGATTTACATGATTGTCTGTTCACTCGGCCACTAGGTAATATTCTCAAAATCCCTTTGCGTTGCTATCGTGTTTGATACTGAAGTGCAATTATGAAAACACACTATCAACACTAGACACTTTGACCGAGTGGTTAAGGTGCTGGCCTGCTAAGCCAGTGGGTTCGCCCGCGTGAGTTCGAATCTCACAGGTGTCGCATATTCTTTTTTCTTTTTTCTTTTTTCTTTTCCGCTTCCGAGCCCACGTATACGCAACCCTATCTTCCCCAGCCTGGGTCCTTCGCTGGATTGCCCATTTTGCACAAGATAAATCTCAGTTACGAGTCTGCGTCAAATCATCAAAGGTGTGAAGCTGGAGTTAGTGGTCAAAGGTGAACAAGCGGCCGACTTATAATACCGAATAATGCACTGCAACATCATTGCCAAATACATAGTCAACAACAGTGACAGCAATTCTTTCAGTGAATCCTAATTATAGAGACACTCTTACGCTGACCCATCACAACCCCACTGCGAATATCGCCTGACTGAATGCTTCACCCCATGCGCATCCTGCTCCTGCAACACGACCCGAGACATACCACCTTGTCTGATAGCTCTCCGGAAAGAAGACATCCCATGAGCTGGCCTAGGGTCTTGACTTGGTGAGACCCTACCCTTCTTCCGATCAACCATTGCGTTCATCACCGCCTGGTTCCAGATCTGATCGGCAACAGTGAAAGGACACTCGAAGCTCCACTCTGCTCGAATTTGCACGTCGTGTTGCTCGGGCATGGCGTCTGGCTCTGCGGATGTCCCGTGAAACACCACCTCGACAGACCCGCCGTAGGCGATGCTGCGTGCTAGACGTTCGATATGAGATTTGAATGCCGTGAAATTACCATCAGGGAAGAATGCTGATTTGTGAAGCGTCCAGCTGGAATCAAGCTGGGGATTAGTTTTAGAAGAGATATAGGACCGGGCTAGGTGAGCATACCTTCTTCCAGTTGGACTTTCACGCAGCGAACCAGCTACTATCTCCTCAAATATGGAGCCGTCCTGATTGGTGGAGTTCTCCCATGCCCGACAGCCACTTGCATTGGTCGTCACGAGTTGCCCTGATCTGATTCCTACTACCTTCGTACAGTCGATCCAGAGGTCAAAATCGATAGCTTTGGATTGATCGTTCGTCATGTGCGCTCCAAGGATCTATATGGAAGCTTTGGGCGGAGATTTTAACTGCGCAGTCAAAGAAGATATGCGGTTGTCTGATGTGGAAGCCATTTCTGCGATTGGCGATCATATAGAGCCTCGATAAACAGGGAGGTAGACATAGGCAGGACACGATATGCGATGTGATTACCTTTTTAATTCATTGATTGAGCCGGAGCCGAGACAATCTGCGTCATAGTGCATTCTAGTTGAAGTGAATCTGGCCACACTAGGTAGGTATATAGTGTCTCAAGTTGCCAGCGGCCATTCGAACTCACTGGCCAGGATGCTGCTCACCGCCCGTCGCACCCATGTCGATAGCCTCACGTAGCTGAATTCATGACTCATCTTTGTTCTTAGGCTCTGGCCAATGATTTCTAGAATCAGACCAATATTATACTTGGCTAGGGACCACGAGACACAAGCTGTTCTGTCCAAAAGGTCCCGGTGACAAAAAGACGATCCTTCCTTCAATTGTAACCCATGATATCTGTAAGGTTGCTACCGCTGAAGGATATTGTAACTTTGGGCATGACGATGGATGACGCACTGAAGCTCTGCTTGGATGTTTTCTGAGGCAGCTTATTCAAGAGCAGTAACCCTGGCGCAGATCTCGTGAGATCTATAACGTTGACAGTGCTTCATAACGCTGCACACGAAATTATCATGAGATAGCGTCGATGTTACTGCTTGAGATATGCGCCGATTCAGACTGTCACGACAGCTTGACCCAGAGACTGCTACGGCTGGCTGCAAAGAATGATCGTGAACAGTGTTGAGGCGGCTGTTGCTGCCACTGTTGCTGCTACCGCTGCTGCTGCTGCTACACCAGTGCGCTGACTTCGAGACTGAGAATGACCCTGATCGCCGGACACTGTTTGGGTGGGCTTTCGAGAACGATGGCGAGGAAATAGTGGAGATATATCGTTTGTAAAGCGACCTACCTACTCCTAGTAGCAGCTGTGAATGCCCTGTTGTGGTTAGTATTTTAGCTTGCCTCTGGGGATAGCCGCCCCATACGCCGTCAGGGGTATTGTTATCATCGCCCTTTATTGGACCCCCCCCTAAGATACCGTCAAAAAAAAAAAAAAAACACCTACCCTCCGAGGACTCTCCAACTTCCTTTCATGCCTCTTGGCGGAATGGGAGAGCAGGAAATTGCCTGGAATAAATTATGTAGATAAGAGAGGGGGTGGACTGGTAACAGAAGGTGTTCCCAACTGGGCCGCAGACCATGTGACTGTACCTACGATGACCATCATTCAGCTAGAGTCACTCCCTACATGTTCACACCCACCTTTCAGCATAAAGAGGCGTTTCTTCTGCTCGCCTGGCGGATCTTTCTCACTATGCTTCTTACTGGGGCTTCAATATCTCGCCTGTCACCCTGAATATCTAGGCATTTTTTCCCTCGGCACCCCTTGTTTCAACGCCCTGCATCACCAGTACGCGCTTGCTCACGATTAAACTATCCACTTCTCGACGCAACCAAGAAGCTCGAGGAAGAGACACTGCCATGGTACTCTCCGGATGAGTTCTATTCGGTGAAAATAGGCGAGGTATTTCAATCAAGGTATCAGGTGATTGGTAAATTGGGCTACGGTGGATATTCAACCGTGTGGCTGTGCAGAGACCTACAGTCAGCTTACCTCTCAATCATGTCGCGATGTAAAAGGTCAACTCACCAATTCCTAGGATGCATGATTATATCACCTTGAAGGTCTTCGAGCGCAATTCGGCAGAAGGCCAAAGAGAGGTAGAGACCTATCGTCACTTGAACACACTCGGCACAACAGATCATGCTGGTGCTAAGCTTATCCGCAAAGCGCTGGATAGCTTCCAGATTACTTCTGAAGAGGGCAATTTTGAATGTCTTGTTCATCTCACCCTGGGAATATGTCTCTATGACTTCCGCGCTCAGCTCAGAGCCAAGGTACTCCCCGAAAGTATAGTCAAGTTGACCCTAATACATCTCCTGCTTGCCCTTGATTACCTTCACACAGACGCTGGAATCGTCCATACAGATATGAGTCCTCTATATCCTACTCCCAAAAGTCTAACCGAGTGGTCTCAGATATTCAAGAAGAGAACGTCATGATGGCTATCGGAGACCCTGCGATCTTAGCCGATTTTGAAGAAGAGGAGAAGTCTAGTCCTAGCCCGCGGAAGTCCGTCGGCGATCGAGTCATCTATGCTTCTCGAAAGCTCAGGAAGACTAAGCAACAAGGTCGTCCTACGCTGTGTGATCTTGGTTAGGCTCGCCGTGGGTCAGATACCTACCATGGTGATATCCAGCCATATATTTACAGGGCTCCCGAGGTGATACTGCGAATGCCTTGGAACGAAAAGGTTGATATTTGGAATGCCGGATTGCTGGTACGTGTTCACTTCTTCGGACCTCTTACAATGAGTAGTGGGCAATCTCCATTGCTAATAACCTGTATAGACGTGGGATCTCTTCGAACAAGGACATTTGTTCCACGGGCGTGATTCGGACAAGAAAAGCTCTGATGCCCATCACATCGCTGAAAAAATTGCTGTCATGGGGCTACCACCAAAAGAAATGACGCAGAATAGTGTCTATGCGACCGAGTTCTTCGATGACGAAGGTATATATGAATCGTAGCCTTCCCACAGTGTTCTGCTGATAATCAAGTAGGGAACTGGAAGGGAGCAATCGAAATCCCTTCTAGATCGTTAGAAACGCTCGAAGGAAATTTGGAAAGTGAACCACGGCTACTTTTCCTCCGGTCTTGCGCAAGATGCTCCAATGGAAGCCCGAGGCGAGGTTTTCGGCAAGAGAGCTCTTGGAAGACCCTTGGTTAAGGTCACCTTAATGACCAGATTTGCTTGGAGGGTGAAGTAGAAACGACACCGTAATCTGAGTCTCGGTTGTGCTAGGCATAGAGCACATGGGATTGTCTCGAGTCTTGCACTGTCAAGTAATTATTTCCACTCTACAAGCGTGAAATATGATGGTCCAAATATGCATAATGATCGAGATCACCAAACCAGCTGGTTATTTGCCTGTCTTACCTGTACTGGGAGCCTGAATTTTCACCAAGCCTTTCAACTTCAAGGCGAGACTAGGAAAGGGCTGGCTGAAGTTGAGTACCTCAGAGAGGTGGCTATTTGTAAGACTTGCTGGGCGCGAGTTCCTCAGGGAGCCATCTACAAGAGCGCGAACCCTACTACTCCCAAAGCAGCCAGTAAGCACGATCCACCCATTACCGCCAACTGCTGCGGCGCGCCATTCGCCTCCTTGGAACAATCATCGGCGCATTCAGACCGTCGCAGAGCCGCTGGTGCTGGACGGCCGCCATACTCGCCGCGGTGTCCTTGTCGATGGCGATGCGACAGGGGTCCGGTGTTGCCGTCGAGTTGGCCGTCATGACGCAAGTGTCGCGGCCAGCGGAGTTGACGTCCGGAGGCGAATGCAGGGTCGTGTAGGTCACATTGAACGTGCCGAGGTAGTGAAGAACTACGCCCAAGAGTAGTAGTGCTGGAGGACGCCCAGGTGGCCGTCGTCCTTGGCTAGCGCCTCCTCGTCGCAGCTTTCCCAGCGGAGTCACCAGTCTACCGACCAGTAGTCCGTGGTGTTGAGCGTTGGCAGATAGTGGTATGCAAAGTACGGGTCTGCGCTGCTGGAAAGATTGGCCCAGCGCAGATCGTGGGTTAAAGGAGTAGTGGAGTTGTTGGCGTCATTGCCGTGGCGGAGGCTGTAGGAGATGCGTAGGTTGAGAAGTTCGGCGTCCTGCGGGCTCTGGACTGCAACGACAATGGGGAACCAGTCAGCCGGCGAATACGTTTCGTTCCGAGGGAAGATTAGGCCTACTTCGACCGCATGGGCGATGGCGACGAGAACTCCGAGTAATCCGAGTCTCCTCGCTGGGAAATGTATGACAAGATTTAAATCCCACACAGGGGCTTTCTGACTGTGAGAAGAAGGAGGATAGCCGAGCAACGCAATGAGCATGACTTTCTACCAAAGACGCGTCAACGCAGAAGAGATGATATAGAATAGGGGCACATCCCTGGCGCCGAGACACTATAGCGTAGATATCGTAGGTCAACTTAGGGCTGACTCTTGGTTCAGGATCCCCTCCCTCTCGCAGTCCCTCCAGTCTCCAAGAACCAACTCCAACCACGAGATGGCAAGATAGCTTGCCAAGTATGCATGCCAAGACCATGTAATAAAAAAATGAAGCGGAGAAACTGGTCTCGCTTGGACGGCCAAGGCTGAATCTAGGGAGATCTCCAAGCCTCGGTCAGATGCGAGCCCACGCCCGGAACCCAATTTCCACTTCTGGAAACTCGCCTCCGCGCCTGTCAGTCAAACCGGGCTCCCGCTCATCTCCGACAGCCCAACAACATCCCTTCATCGCAGCCCCAACATCTCATTGAAGAAGGTCTTCATCATGCAGCTGAAGTTCTTGACCGGACATGATGGCCGAAACATCTCACGTGAGCATCTACGGCACGCTTGTGCCTCCTGCCGTCAGAAGAAGGTGCTTCGCCTGTACCTTCATTGCTTGGTGGACATCCAGCACTGATGACGGGAATAGAAGCGATGTTTTCATCATCAATCCCGACGCATCGCACAGTCTGCGCAGGTCTTATCTGCCCTAGAACGTGAGGTGCAAGAGAGCCCTCATGTCTCGTCGCCACAGCACAGAACCGAACAACGACAGCCCTCACATATGTCCCCCTCCATCCCATCAACGCCAGGATCGATGACCAGCAGAGGGAACAAAGACCCCGATCAATTCGCATGCGACACTAATCCTGTTGTCACTCTGCTGGATGATCCTAAATCCAGACTCCCGGAGGGTCAATCTCAGAGGGCGGATGTGGGAGCGTCGTTACATAACGAATGCTTCTCCCCTCCGATATCAGAGTCACAGCCTCACGGACACACAGCGGATGAATCCATAGCAAAGACTGTCCCTGTGCTACCCCCAAAGCCACAGCAAGAAGCCTTGATCGACATCTACTTCCACCGCCTGCACCCTTTCCTCCCACTCCTCGACGAAGAAGAAACCCGCTCCCAGTTCGCAACCAACACCCTCCCCGCCGCCCTCCTCCAATCCATCTGCCTAACCGCCTCCAAAGACCCCCGCGCCGCGCCCTTCCTCTCCCTCAACCCCAGACCAACTCTCCTAACCCTCGAAACCTTCGCCCGACTCCTCCACGACGACATCACAAGGAACATGCCCAAGCAGCATGAGCGCAGGATTCTAACCATCCAGATCCTCGCCCTTCTGTCGTTGCACGCCTGGGGCCCCCACGGATGCGACGAGGCCTCCCTGGCATTATCCCAGGCCGTCCACCACGCCCACACGCTGGGCCTGCACCTCGCCCCGCGGGCGGGACGAAAAGCCACCCCGACGCCACCACCCAGAACTGGAACGCTATTCTGGTGCCTCTGGAGCCTAGACCGATGGAACGCCGCCGTCAACGGCCGCCCGCTGCTGATCCACGACTACGACATGGACCAGGAGGTGTGCGACGTGCTGTCTCTCCCCATCCCCATATTCGCCCCAGCGTTCCGCATCTGGTTGCGCATCGCCGAGCACCTCGGCCGGGTGATCCGATCGTACCGGCCTGTCCGGACACGGACTACCAGTTGCAGTTGCAGTTGCAGTGACAGCTGCGAACAGGGCCCGGAGCTCTGCACCTTCGAGGAACTCGTCTCGCAGTCCGATGGCTGGGCCACGGACCCCGAACTCCTTGGTAAATAGCAACAAGTCCAACCCAACCTCCCCCCCCCCCCAATTCCCCCATTCCTAACCCTTGAAAAGAACAACTGGAACTCTACCACCACGCCGTGATCCTCCTCTCCACACACTCCCAAGGCCTACAGGGCCGCTCCCGCTCCCGCACCGCGCAGATCCGGCAGAGCCAGGCCCTGCACAGCGTGGCGGCCCTCGTCCGTCGACACCGACACCGACCCCGACCCCGACATTCCCAAACCCCGCCCATCGCGCTCGCCTTCTCCGTGACGTACAGCCACCTCAAGGAAGCGAGATTGCCCAGCGCCCGGGCTCTGGCGCTCGAGCAGCTCGATCTGTTTCATGGGGCACTGCAGGCAGCAGCGAAGACGTGGTGGCTTGCGGCTGTTATGGCGCATTTGGGGAGGAATGCGCTGGAGCGGCTGGAGCGGGTTGCCCCCGTGGATGGTGGTGGTGGTGGTGGTGGTGGGAGCGCACTCGACTCTGGAAATCAAGCCCTAGGTTCTAGCAATGGTCTCGGTCATGCGGGCAATGCTGATGGGGATACGCTACTACCCAGCGGTTTTACGGGTCATTTTCAAAGTGAGAGTCTCGAGGTTCGGACACCTGAGATTTCCGCGCTTCTGGAGGGCTGTTCCGCGCTGTCGGAGACGGAGTATGGGGCGTACTTTGATAGCTTTCTGGAGAATTTCCCGGACCCGGGGTTTGCGTTGCCAGGGTTCTTTCTGGGGGAGTCGGTTGTTGGCTGATAGCCCTTCTTTGGGGGGATGGGGGATTTCCGGAGTGGGAAAGTAGTTATTTATATCAGGATATTTGGTTGACGGTGGTGAGCAACAGTGTAGACATGTGACAGTTCTATTTCAATATGTTCTGAACAAAGGTGAGTCTTGGATGGTGGCCTTGTTGTTAAGGCTGTTGCTGGTTGAGCATCTCAGGGACAGTTGTAGATGTTACATACACACTACACACATGAGGCCAGGCAAAGTTCCAGACAGACCTACCGCTGAGATCGAAGCGGCACCTCCGTCGCAGGCACGACCGTCTCGAACCCGCCGCGCAGCTCCTCCCCACCCACCCCACAGATCCCACTCAGATCGACCTCCTCCCCCCACGGCAGAGCATCCACGTCCACCTCCCACCCCAGCAGGCACCGCAGCACCACCCCAGCCCCGGCCTTACTCATCACCTCATTCATCTCCTTGCACCGCTCGTCACAGACGCACTCCAAGCAGCCCTGCGGCGTGAGGCACTGGCAGGCCTCGATGCGCTTCACCGCCCGGCGCAGCAGCACGTCTACGAACTCGAACGCCTTGCTCGCGATGCCGGATCCGCACGGCCCGCCCTTCGCATCATAGAAGGTCAACCGCGCGGGGCGCTGCCGTGCGGGGGGCTGGAGGATCTTCTTGACTTTGGACTCTAGCTGCTTCCTCGTCTGGCCCTCGTGCGGTTGGCCTTCCTCCGCAGCCAAGCGCAGGCCGCGGCCGATCTCCTTCTTCGCGACCTTGCACTCGGTGCGGACGTCCCCAGGGGAAGAGATCACGAAGGTCGGGAGCAGCGAGAGGATGGCGTGTTCGGCGGCGTGAATAGCCGCCGCGATGTTGAGGTTGTGCGAACGGAGGATCTCCAGCGCCCGCTTGGGGATGTCCAGCCACATCCCCTTGGTGTAGATGTCGATCGGGGGGTTGTCAACTGTGACGGCATCCAGGATGCGACCGCGTTTGTCAATCTTGAAAAACCCGTAGACAACGGCGTGGATGCGGATTGAGCCAAAGAACGCGCGGCTTGGCGGGTCGGGCGACTCGGATGGAGCTTCAGTTTTGGCCGCGGCCGCAGCCGAAGCGGCGATGGAGAACGGATTCTGGTTGATGAACCGGATGGAGTCGGTTTCGATGGGATCGATGTCGGTGTAATCGCGTTGCATGGTGTTCCAGTCGACATGAACCCGGATGACGCGCGCGAAATGGCGATCGGGGTGGAATTCTTGGACGAGGTAGGTTTGACCCTGATGGAGAAAGATGCCTCCTTCGTAGATGGTGAAGAAGGCACGCGAAGCTTCCACCTCTTCGAGAACCACGTTCCGCGAATTGGTGGTGTCGATGACGGCGAAGTGCTGGTCTTCAGTGTCCCGGATGGAAACACTGCGGGACGGCTGAGGCCGGAAGCGCTCGTGACAGTGGTAGTAGCCCAGAGCATCGCGGGTGAGGCGAGTCGCGGCGAATTCGGCAAGCTGTGGTCCAAAGTAGGTGCTGTCCTCATCGGGGCGGATGGGCATCTCGAAGGCAGCACACTGAATGTGGCCTTCAAGGACCAGTTCGTTGGCTAGGTCGACTTGGAGTTCGCAGTTGGGCTTAGTGAACAATTCCTCGGGATTCCGCATATAGTGCTGGTCAGTGGGATAGCGATCGCCGACAAGAACCGAGAGCGAATCCTTGTTACGTCGACCTGCGCGCCCGCTCTGCTGGCGAAGATTCGAGATCGAGTAGGGGAACCCCAGAGTGATGACGGCGTCGAGAGACCCAATGTCAACTCCCAGCTCGAGGGCATTAGTGGCCACAATGCCCATCAATCGGCCCTCGAACATGTCTTTTTCAATGACACGTCGGTCTTGCGGGCTGTAGCCACCGCGGTAGCCCATCACGAGCTTCGCAACCTCAGCGCGACCGAGATTTTGGCATTCCGTCCGCACAGCTTGCAAGAGGACTTCACACATCTTGCGGATCCGACAGAACGCGATAACCCGCGCGCCACGTAAAATGAGCTGGCAGAACAGACGTGCCGTTTCGGCGACACTGTCCCCGCGGCCGGATGTTGGGTCGTTAGGATCTTTGAATGGCGTATTCCAGCACATAAATTCCTTGCGTCCCGATGGAGAGCCATCGAAGTCGACCAATTTCACATCTTCAACTCCAAAAATGGCCTTCATGTGCGCTTCCGGATTGGCTACTGTGGCCGAGCAGGAGATAAATCGCACCTGACGGTTACCTACAGCGGCGCAAATGCGGCGTAGGCGACGCATGATGAATGCGACATGGGACCCAAACAGTCCGTTGTACACGTGCAGCTCGTCGACTACAACGAACTTGAGGTTCTTCAGGAATGTTCGCCAGGAGCTTTCTTGAGGCAGAATGGTGATGTGTAGCATGTCGGGATTGGTGAAGATAATACGCGCCTCATCTCGAATGTGGTTCCGTGCGGCCATGGGCGTGTCTCCGTCGTATGTCTCAACGATGGTGTCTTGGAGACCATCCAAAAACTGAAGCAGCTCCTGCATACTGCGCCTTTGGTCTTGTGCCAATGCCTTGGTGGGAAATATGTACATCCCGCGGCTAGCAGGATCTTTCTCCAGCTCATGCAACATGGGCACCTGGTAGATCAAGGATTTTCCCGAGCTAGTGGAAGTAGACACAATAACATTGTGACCATCGTATAAGTGATTGATGGCCTCTGCCTGGTGGGAATATAACTGAGTAATGCCCTTGGTATTGTACAATGCATTGACCAGATTCTGAGAGAGCTGGAAGTTGAGTTCGGCATGTATGGGTGCCTGTGCTTCAAACACTCGATGTCCCTCGGGAACAATCTGTGCCGTATACCAATCCATCTGCCGGATCTCTTCCACGATTTCCGACATGGATTTCCGGACCTTGGGGATCTGAGGGGGCGCTTTGACGGACGCCAAGGCCAACAACTCGTCGTCGTCCGGAGGGATGGGGATCCATGCATCTTTTTCCGATTCTAGTCGCATGACAGGGTCGAGTTTCTCGTCTTCGCAACGGACAAGAAAATCGTCGATCGCGTCGGTGAACTTCTTGTTGCGTTTCTCGATGAGGGCTAACATCTGCTTCTGACTGTATACGGGCATTTTGAGGTCCTCGTCCTTCATTTTGCGTCTCGGCTTTGTCGGCTCTCCGGTTTTCGGGTCTCTCACTTCCCGCTTGAGATCCTGGTCAACCAGCTCGAACAACAGGGTTCTGGTCGGAACGCCGTCTGTCTCAGGAAGCATGTCCCTGCCGTAACCCAATTGTTTGATCTCTCGCTCCCCCGTGGTCATAAGCTCGAGTTTGGCATCGTCGACATATTCAAAGCGAACTGATCGCGGCACAAGCACCCTAACACGAGCAATGTCCTCCACTGTCAACTCTTGGCCTTGCAACTGAGCTTGGACGGCTTGTTTGATGTTGCTGAACGTGGTCGCAAAGTGCTTTCGCGTGCAACAGAAGGTGTAGACGAGGTTCAGGGCGCGGTGGGTGCGCGATAGCTGCTTGAAGGCGTCGGGCCACGGGGTGGATGGAGTTCGCTTCGGAGGTGCAGCGGCTCGTTTTCGCTTTTTACCCGGCTGTGTCGATGCAGGTTCATCTGCGGTAGCAGGTTCAGCTGATTCTGAATTGGGAGTTGAAAGATCACCGTTGCGACCCCTCTTGCCCGATTGCTGCGCTGGCGGTAGTGTCGTGGTGGCGGCTTGGGTAGCCTCGGCTGGTTTAAGCTCGTCATGGGATGTTTTCCTGCCCGTTGCGGTGGAGGGACAATCCACTGGAGCTCTGGGACGGGCCATACCCGTCACTCATGGTGGGAACAGAAAGGCCAGTGCTGCGAGCGGATATTGGCTGTTGGCACCTGCAGCAAGCAGTGCATCAGACGGGCTGAGGATTAATTTAAGATGGAGTTTACTTATTTGTTGTTGGTCTAGCGTGGAAATCCGAAATCTCGGGGTGGTCTGGGCCCGGACCGGATTTACCTTACTCCTTGAGCACTTTCGGGGATGACCAATCCGCTGCCCAGTGGCTCAGCTGTGGTGGTTTCAGCCTGGAACTCATGCATGTCTCAAAACAGCAAGTTTCTCGATGGTCAGGACCCCGAATATACATAGTGTGTAGTATGATGCTCTCTCGGACGTGCGTGGCTGGGAGTTTATCTTATAAGCACTGCAAAAGTAGTTACTCCGGACCGGTTAGGCTGACATGGATGAGTTTGTACTGCACGGAGACAGTGCCTCCTAACTTGCCATACACCTTGCGTGATGCATTGGGACTGACGTAGGCAGATGGACATGTCGCCTGCCAACGGCGGATGCTCTTTTTGGAAAGGTTATTGGGTTATTGAGTTTTTATTGTGACGATCAGGAACCAGCCACGGCAAGGCGAACCGATGGGGACTTTTTTTTTTTTCGATAGTGGATCCTCCCGAATTCCTTTTTTTAGGCAGGCGTCGAGTAGCTCAGTGGCACTAGCACTGTAACACCAACCGAATTTGTTGATTCGATTCTACTCTTCAGCATGCGATTACTGTGCCAACTGTTTTGTTTTGTTTTGTTTTCAATATGAGATGAGGCTCCAGTAGCCAATGTGCGCTGGTTCGCATTGCAGTCCCAGGAATTGAATATTTATTCGATAAACAACAAGTGGGGCCAGTCATTTCGGATCAACATTGTTACCGGCGGGATCAAAACCTGCGGCGTCAGGCACCCATTCACTAGTGGTACTGTAATCTGTGCTGCAGTGCAGTGGGCTGGCCATCCACCACCTTCAAAGTCAGTCACTCTAACTAACTAGTCGGTCGGTGGTAGGCTGGCTGGTGTGTGCTTCTCCTTCTCACCTAATCTTACTCATTTCCCCCTCCTTCGATCTTCCTCTTACCTGCCACCCCGTCTCTCCCTCTTCTTGTCTGTGTTGTCACTGCAAGCCTGCTGCATGGCTTTCATCGTATTTCCGTGATCTTCACCTACCTGGAGTCGAGTCGGCTGGGTGTTTTGTTTACTGCCTCGGGTCCCTCTGCAGGGACTCCTGGCTTGCACTGGCCCCCCCGAGCCCGCCCGCGTGTTATTGCAAGTTTCATGCCCAAGCACTAATTAAACCCCAACGTGTTCCCCGTCCCTCTTTAATCGTCATCTACTGCCTTCGTTCGCTATTGCTCGCGCTCGCCGTAAACCGATATCTCGTGTACAACTTCAATTCGATTAGTTCGATCGTGCCGTTGACTCCTATTCCCCTCCAAACTCAATTCGCTCTGGACCTTCGTTCCCCTTTTCGGCCCCTCGGCCTGGTGCGACACCGAAAACACACAAAACATCGCAGCGCAACGAAAACGCAGTCATAGCATTGGCTTAGCACTCTTTCAGCCATGGCATCTCCTTCGCTTTCGGAGCTGGAGCAGCGCAATCGCCTGCCCACTCTGTTTGAAGTTCTCAGTCGGCGAACGCTCGCTCCCGTCGATCTTTTTTCCTTCTACATTTATATGCGCGACCAGCAGCGATCAGTGGATTATCTAGACTTCTGGTATGTCACAACAGTCCTCAGGAGAGTGAGTGACTTGCGCGAAGGACGGTCGCTAATTGAGTGCTTGCGCCAGGCTGGATGTCTCACAGCATATGTCCCTCTGCCGTCACTATGTTCGTGAGCTGCGCCGATCCGTTCTTGTCGCGACGCCTGATCTGGAAAAGGCCGACAGCAAAGGCTCTTCCGCCGCCTTAGACAACATCGAGCATCTGAATGATATCCCTCTAGTCGAAGCGGGACCCTCGGGTTCACGCCATGCCCTCTACGAATTAGAAGACCGAGACGCAAACCAACGACTGTCGGCGTTCCTCCGCTCGGACGGCCATACATCAGGGCACTCTCCGCAGAGCAGCTTAGGATCACAGAACGCTGCCCGCACAGCGTCGAACGAGCAGCCCCCGCAAGATAGCTCCGGGACTCGAAACGACTCGCCGTCGCCCGGGCACACGGTGGCACGTGCGGATATCCGCGCAAGTGCAGAGAAGATTCTGTACACATACTTGCTTCCCGGGGCTGAGAGAGAAATCGTTCTACCGGAGGAGATGGTGACGACGATTATCGATCATGTCGAGGACCACGGCCGGGATGACCCCGAAGTGTTCGATCCGGCGAAGGACTATGTCTTCCAGGCGATGGAACGCGATGCATTCCCGGGATTCCTGCAGGCCAAGGCGCTGGGGAACCTAGTACCTTTGTCCATCATCGCCCGTCTGGCATTTGCGCTGATCAGCTTTGGTGGAGGCTTCTGGGGTGCCTTTTACGTGGTTCTTCGCGACAAGCCCCGACATATACGGTGCTGGGTAAGGCAATCCCTGCCGCTCCGGTCTTGCAATCTTTGCTAACTTGCGTCACAGCTGATATTGCCCTTTGCCGTTGCGTCGTACTTCCTCGTTTCGTACCAGTACAAACTTGACCCGGTCATGGCGTTCTTGGGCTACAGCGAATACACATTTATGACCTGGTCCCCGATCCGCGAACCATACGTGCGGAAGCTCCTGAACAAGCGCGCCACGGCGACGGCTCTGATCGCCTTCTTTGTGGCCACCGCGCTGAGCATTCTCTTCATCTTCGTCCCCGGCACCATGCTCTAGATGACGCAACCTCTTCTGTGTGTGCCAGACCTGCCTTTTGACCTCGACGTAATGCAGCGCCATCTCCTGTTCATATATCCTGTTCCGTGTTACCCCTTTGTCCCTTCGATTCTAGTAATCTTCCTCTTAGCAGATACCATACCTTGATCCTGACTGATAGTCTAATCTCAATCAATAATCTGGATATACTTGAATCATGACCTTTCCGTAAATCACCGGCAATGATTTGGTGAGCGACCACCTAATACTCAGTGTGTAAATGTCTATCGTGCAGCCGCTAAAGCGCCGGACTTGACTTATACTTGTCGATTAGGTTTACCGATCGATAGACATCCGTGAACCTATTTGCCACAATCCACAGATGACATCATGACTTCATAAAGCAAGCAGCATGTTAAACGTTCCGTATAAGAATGTCTCCTCTTCTCGCGCAGCTTATTGAGACAGCAAAAATTTCATACTATCACAATTGATACATCCAACATGACATCACTTCCCAAGAATCACACGTCGACCAGCCGGTTTGACAAGAAGGAAGAGAAGGACAATTCCGAGAATCTGTTCAATCAAGGCCCCACGAGGCTCGGCGGTATGACCTCTCCGCTGGCATTTTGACGAAGTGGACTGATGACTGATGATGCGAGTCAATGCTCCAGGTACAGACAACGCTGCCTCGTCTAATGATATCGACTTTCCACACAAAGACTATCACGACGGTCCAGGGAAGTACGACGACGACGATGAGAACCCCTCCCGGGCCGTTGAGGATGCAATCCCTGCGAATCCGTCGTAAGCAGCGGGGATGAGTGTGGCATGCAGGGTTACAGAGGTGCAGCAGATATAGGACTTTGTATATAAGTGAAGGGCTCTGTTTTGTTAATTTAATGCCTTTCTAAAACACACTGACACGTTGAATATGTATCATCTCTTCTTTTTCTATCCTGACCTGGGTGCTAGAGCATGGTCAGTTTTAGCCGGCCTATACCTAGCAAAGTAATAGAGCACTCAGTCTCTAGACTCGAAGTAACATCAGGTGAAAGGGTGGGATACCAAGTCGATATAGGCATGGGCTGAAAAGGCGGTAGGGGACACGGCAGTAATGACCGGTTTGCATGGCTTGCATGGTTTGCACAGTTTACACAGTTTGCATCGGATCGCGCGGCGCGTGTGGACGGGGAGTGTGATTACTTCTCCGTTCCCGGCGTGTTTACTTACTCGCTCCTCTCCCTCTCCCTCCACCATCGCAGTCATGGAAACTCAGGCTACCTCTTACGCTGTCTTTCTCATCTATCGGAATCGCGACTCTTCTGGTCTCTTTGACACTCACTAGTATCTATTGGACTCATTCCTCGTGCTTTTCCATGGGTGGACAAGCTCTCATGTGTTTCCTGTTGCATCTCTGGCCTTCTCACCTCTTCGCCTTTCCACCGTTCAAGGCACCCTCATACAGATCTTACCCCCTGGTACGCTCTCCAGCTCGCTGGGGAGTCTAACCCTAATGTAACCCCGTCGGTTCGGTGCCAACGGCTTCTTGCCGGCGGCAAGTTTCACGGTCATGCACGGCGGTTTGAGCCCACTAGTCGACTCGCATCGCTTTCGGGGGATCGAGGAGGCGAAAGGTTCCCGATGCTCAGAGCGCCATCCCTCCGCGGGGTGCGCATAAAGACGGTTTTCCATGCAGTTCCCGCCGCAGGGCACGCGTCGGTCTACCAATGCTGAGTGTTACGTGCTGATCAACACAGGACAGTCTTCACTTGTTGCCGTGGTACTGAGCTGATGATTCGAGAGAGAAGGCAGGTGGAGCATGCCGGGCATCTTCCGCAGGAGGATGTCACTGGGAGCCCATAGTGGGCGCCGATTCAAGGAACTTTACAACCGTGAGCTTGATCATTGCATGTGCGAACTGGTTTACCCGAATACGAACAAACCGGGTGTCTTCGGACATACCGACTGCCTCACACACAGTCATCGAGTCTTTGGATTGATCCACTCGTCGGAAACCGGTTTGAATCTCTGGAACGGCCCAGGTGTTTCCACCGTTCCAGCCCGGATTGAACCGCAGCGAGGTCAATTGCAAATGGATGACTTCCTCATGGTCGATCGGATGATGCCATGAGGAGCCCCCCCTTGGGCTTGTTCGTCGCTTTCCAGTCTCGAGTCGGTCTCCAATCATGTATTATGTATCTTTCTCCGCCCCTAACCGGGGTAAAGCGGTTGGCCTCCTTGGTCGGTGTGACTCGGCTGTCCCGTGCATGCTCCCAATCCGAGGGTTGACTGGGGCCTTCGCTCCCTGCGTTCAAACTCTCGATCATCCCGGGTACGAGACCGGCTAGTGGACTCGTGGATCACGGCATGAGAGCCACCCGATCTGCGCTTCGCTCGCGAAGGTCCCGATTGATCGTGTTAACCATCTCTTTGCATCGAGCGGGTGCAGATAGATTGATGGGCGCTGACTCGGCCATAGCTTCGGGTATGGTCCCTCCCCTTGGGGAGAAGGAAGCGGTTTTTATGGATGTTTTGTTTGTCCGTTTCCCCATGCCCTCCACTGTCGGGCTTCTGGCGGTGGGGAGGAATCAAAAACCAGTCCGCGGGGGTACTGTATCACACACAAGAGGTTGAGAAGCCGTTGATCTTGGGAGACGACGTGAGGTCATGATCTGCGCATCGAAGGTTCGACGATGGGAGATAGTATGCTTGGTCAAAGGGGCTCGAGCCACGAGATCTGGGATGATTCAAGACTGAAATCTCAGCAGAGAGCGCGAGGTATATCTGGCCACCGGCTGTGTCCATCACTCTGGTGCCGCCTGTCCTGACCGTCGCTTCGGCAATGCCGATACAATTGTTGCGTTGGTATACTCTCGATCGTCAGATCGTGCAGCACTGGCCTTTTGCTGTCTCGGATCCGTACAGGAGGCTTGTTATGGGACCTCGAAAGGGGATCAAAGCTCAGTGCTTGTCTGTCTCGTTTCTTGTTGTTTCCGAGGCTGTGGGGGCAGGTCTTGCGTGGGTTACGGGGAGAGGACTGCGCTTTGAATTGTGGTTGGCAACGCAGGAGTCGAACATGAGGGATGGCCCAGGGTGGTGGGCCGCCGTTCCCTCACCGAGGGCCCGCGGTGAGGGAACGGCCCCCTTTTTTTTTTATAAGTGCTCCAGATTCCCCGGTTGTTGCATAGCTAACTACGGTGGCAGGTTGTTTTGGCGGCAACAGCTCGACTCGATGACTTCCGAACCGCGGATGTCGAAGCGAACGATCGGTTAGCGGCCTCGGTTTACTGGATCGGGATTAGAGTCGGTACCTTGGGTCTAGAGCAAGAAATGAGCTATGCAAAGGTTGCTAGGAACATGCATCCCGTGACCTCATAATCTAGTTCATGCTAAGATTCCACCGTGTAACAACTGTGTAGCCGTATGCCATTGGCGATGACAGCCTGTCCTTGTACAAACCTTGCCATACCTATCTCTAAATTTACCCACACTCCACAACTCGAACCCACTGCACCATCTCACCACCAAGAACTCCATGACCAGTAAAAACCACCAACCCATCAATTCCTCACAAAACCTATATACAGACGACACCCCCCCTAAGAATCCAAAAGATTACCGCCCCATCCACCCCCCATCAACCGTAACCACCTCCCCAGAAACATACGCACTGGCCGCACTGGCCAAAAACACCACCACCCCCTTGAAATCCTCGGGCCTGCCCCACCGCCCCGCGGGGATGCGCGCCATGATCCCCGCGTTGCGGGCCTCATCCTGGATCAGCGCGGTGTTCATCTCCGTGGCGATGTACCCGGGGGCGATGGCATTGACGCTGATGCCGCGGGCGGCCCACTCGTTGGACAGCGCCTTGGTGAGCTGCGCCACCCCGCCCTTGGAGGCGGCGTAGGCCGGCACGGTGATCCCGCCCTGGAAGCTGAGCAGCGAGGCGACGTTGATGATGGCGCCGCGGCGGCCGCCGGTGGCTTCGAACTCGGCGGCGTCGCGGCCGAGCAGGTAGGCGCCGAATTCCCGGCATAGGGTGAAGACGGAGGTGAGGTTGATGTTGAGGACCTGGTCGTTTGGTATCGGGATTAGCATTAGCATGGAGTTTTTGGCGGGGGGGTGGTTTGGTTTGGGAAGAAAGGGCAAGGGGGAATACCTCATCCCAGTCCTCATCGGGGAATTGCTCGCTGGGATGCCGGCGCTGGATGCCGGCGCAGTTGAGGAGGATGTTGGGCGTGAAGCCCTGGGCGGTCACGGCGGGAAGGATCTGTTTGAGGGCGTCGCGGGAGGACAGCTCGGCGACGTGGATGTGGGCTTTGCGGTGCAGGCGCGTGGTGATCTCGTCGCGCGTGGTGGTGTTGGATTCGTCTCGCTTTTCGGATATTGACAGTCAGAATCTATCAACATGTTTCCCCCCAACCAGGGGGCCGACGACGCACCTGGATCAGAATAATGTCCGCGCCCGCTTCCGCAAGCGCGTACGCCATGGCCTGGCCGATTCCCCGCGTGCCGCCGGTGACGATGGCGGTGCTGCCTTCGAGGGAGAAGAGGGCGGGAATGGACATTTTCGGTTTGTTATTCGTCGGATGGGTGGTTGTATGTTTTGGTTTAACGTTAATCTGTCAAGGTCGTGGGGTTGAGTGGACTCGTAGTTCATGCAGACTCATCAATTGCAGCGATATCAATACCGGCGACTTTACAAAAGCTGTCTCTTTTCACAACGACCAACTGACTCACCACCACCCCACGAACGTGGGGGAGGAGCCCTTTAAAGCAACCTTGAAGTCATGGCAGTGATTCAATGCGGGGCAGCAACCAGCGGAGCTCCTCCAGATTGGGATGATGCAATTGCCGAGGGAGACACAACATTAAACAAAGTCAAAGGCCGATGCCCCCGCAACATCCTCCCCCCGGCTATTGAAGTTTCCGCTCGGTGCTGATCCGATCGCTGTATTTCCGTATCAGTACCGTCATCCGGGACGAATGATACACGGAGCATCAGCATCGTATCGTGCCATGAGTCTCTATGCACTACTATGTGACTAGCACATAATCCTGAAAAGTTCAAGTTAGATCTACATCTTGTCATCATACTACTCATTTCGATGCCGTTTTGCCGCCTTGAAGGTTCTACCATCGGACAAAGACTCCTTTGGTCTGGCTGGTTTCTCGGTACAGCTTCCAGTGCGTACTATTTTTAGTTGATTCAGTCTGATAGCCACACCTTAAAATATCAACCGTTCCTGCAATCTCGCCCAATAGCAGCAAGATCGCCGAAACATAAATGTATAATCATAGATACAGAGAAAGTAAACTCCCGCGGCTCTGCGCCACAGGATGATGTGTATGTGGTATCCATTGCGCCAATGTCGCCAGCTAAGTAGAAAATCAAAAGGATAGATGGTCTGGGGTCCCATAAAAACGTTCATCGAAAGGCAGAGTCATGCCGTTCATTTCACCTCATTCGCATCCGAGAAAGGGCTTTCCACGCGCGGTGGAATGTGTCGGCTGCTTCGGTTCGAGCGGGTCCCTTCCGGGGTCTCGAGGAGTGAGGATGCCCGGGCGCTGGGTTCGGCCCGGGCATGATCCTGGAATGGGCTCTGGCTGACGGCGGGCGAATCTTCAATCACGGTGGCGGGACGCGACTGCGCATCGGTCTTAGCGGCCTCAGGAGCGTGGTCGCTGCGGGCCTGGCTAGAACGCTTGGGAGTCTCTTCCTCATCGGATGAACTGGCGTCGAATCCGGACGTCGGGACTGGGTCTGATTGCTTGGTGCTGGTGGATCGAGACACGTTGGAACTGGTGGTTTCGGACTGCTCCTCGATGGTCTGCACGCCGGTGGGACCATTGGTGGTTTCCTTCTTCTTTTTCGATGCGCCTCGAACCATGACTGGTTTGGCGGTCACCGTCCGCGCCACGATCGAGCTGTTGGTGGTGGCCGCTGAAAGGCCGGCCTTGGCCAGCTGGGCTTGGGTAATGGCCGGCACTGCAGGAGCATCGCTGTTGGCTCCATTGATGTTGACCACGGCGGCACGCGTGCGCATCACTTGTTGCGCCGGCATCGGACTGACGATGGCGTTGTTGCGGTAGATGGTGGTGGCCACGCTGCTGCGTAGACTAGGGGCGATGCTGCGACGCTCGTTGGACATTTCCGACCAGGCCGAATCACGAAGGTCGCCAGGCATGAAGAAATGTTGGTCGGGGTGGGCACCAGGGAGCGGTGGAACCGGGGGCACCAGACTCCCAGGAGTCTCTGGGGGCGAGCGATTGGTGACACCAGGGATGTAAGCGATTTGGATCACGTTCGAGGCGCGAGTAAGAACGGTAGAGGCGATCGAATTCGTGGACTTCCTGGACTGTCTCGTGTCGGCAGCCACGCTGGACTTTTCGGCTTCGGATGCCTCTTGTTGTTCCTTGCGCTTCTTCCTGATGAAGAACCACCATACCAAGAAGGTCACTATCGCGATGAAGGCGATACCACCGACCACACCCCCTGCGATAGCACCGGCGTCTGTCCCGCCGCCACCGGAATTATTGGAGGACCCCGAATCTCCGCTGGTTGGAGATTTGACACATTTGGTGGTCGCGCACTGAGTGCAAGATTGACTGACCATCGTACAGGTGTAGCCATCATCGCAGGTCGGGCAAGCGGGCGCTGAGGAGGAGCATTGTACGCAGCTTCGGAAGGCTAGGAGGGAACGGGAGTAGAGGACTGAGAAATGCATATTAGCGATCGGGAGGCACAGACCAAACCGTAGTGTACGCACCGTTAGGAGTGGTCGAGTCGGAAGGATGGAACGACATGACGGGCGATGGAGTGTTGGAGTTGTGGTGAAAGAGATGGTTGATGGGGGGGGGGGGGAGTCGGTCGGAAGGGTCGTAGCAGGACGCTGTGTTCTCAAAACAAAGAGGCTAGGGAGAAAGAGAGACGGAAAGGGCGAAAAAAAGAGTGGCAGGCCGATCAACGGCGTAAAGAACGTGGGATATTGACTTTGCGATGAAAAGAGTGTAATACTCGACAGACGTCAAGTCGTGAAAGTTGGATGCTAGGTCATACAAGAAAGAGAGCGCACGAGAGGAGAGAAGAGATGAAGGAAGATGGAAGAGGTTCAGATGAGCGAATGACTGTTGGCGGAAGAAGATTGGGTGGGAGATTGGCAGGCAACAACGCGCATAGCAGAATGCAATGAATCCAAGTGGAGCTCCCAGGCTTGGGGCAATGGGAGTGGGTAGGATACTTTTTTCCCCTCCCAGTCGGAATGTCTGCAAGTCACGGAGTAGCTACGGAGGAGACGAATCTGTAACGTCTGGGGAGGGACCACGCGTGGTGGCTGCCAGGTACAGAGCAGACGGAGCCAGCGCAAGTGACAGGGGAAAGTCAGGGGATAACCATGGGATGCAGGTTAGGAGGAAGTAAGGTAGGAGAGAGAGAGAAAAAAGAAGAAAAGAAGAGAAGAGGAAAAGAGGAAAAGAGGGAAGAGAAGGAGGAAGCTGGTAAGATAATCAATCAATCAATCAATCAATATTTAATGAGAAGAATTGAAGAATGAATAAATTAAAGAGACCGACAAGGAGATGGAGAGGGAAGGGAGGGGGAGAGACGGAGAGAGTGAGAGTGAGAGCGAGAGAGAGCGAGAGAGAGTGAGAGAGAGAGCCAGACCTGCAAGTACGGGTGGGTGGGAGAAGCGACTAAGCCTGAAAGAAGAGGGTGAGTGCGGGCGGGAATTGCGTTGGTTGGTGGATGGGGGGCTGAGTAGTAGTAGTAGTGACACCCACTGCAGTCCACTCTGCAGTCTCCGCCTTATTCCTGCCGCGTTATCTTAGTACTAGATAGTCTAAGAGAATGACTCCAGTTGATGGATGGATGGATGGATGGATGGAGTGGACGGAGACCATTCCGTGAACAAGAGAGCCATTTCCAGCATACACTGCATACAACTGCAGTATCATTGCACAACACCTGAACACCTGAACACCTGACTACATTTACAATAATCTGTAATCTGCAATCTGCCACCCCCCCTGACACGGACCCAAAAATATCGAACCAAAGGATCGTGTCTCAGGTGCTCAAGTGCAGGTCTCGACCGTCGCTCGGTCCACGTTGCTTCCGTTGTCTTCCTTTGCCCGGAAATTAACACGGCTGGGCCTGGAGACTAAGCACCCACCGGCGTTTTGCCTCTCTACTCAAAAGGCATGGATCCTCTGGACCTCTCTATAAAACCAGTCGACTGACACTGCACTAGTGGAGTAGTCCCAGTAGTTTGATGGGTTGATTGCTCCATCTGCCGAAAATCTGGTCAAGTTGAGTTGTCAGAGAGGAGAGAGATCGGGGCCAGTCCGGGTCATGTGACCTCGCTCCCCCTCGCTCCCCCTCGCTCCCCCCTGACGGACGGGCCGTCGGCCGCTTTTGGTCTGGTTGCACCGCCTGGCCGACTCGTGTTCTCTCGCTGCAGGAGGCCGCCATGGTCCAGTAGAAGTATATGTACGGAGTAGTTACTGTAAGTAACCTTCGAAGTGACTTGTCTATCATATGCTCTAGTACTAGTGGTTCAAATGTGTAATCTTCCATATGGACACTGGTCACTAAATCTGACAAGATGCATCTACCTAGTACTGCACACTCTCGAAGTGACAATACATATATTGCTAGCTATAGTCGCATACACTCGTGCTCCAAGCCCAAGATCGTAAGACGACAATTCATAAAATAGGAGCGCAACCACTCCAACTGAGGGCTGAATCCCACTCAGGCGGGCAGAAGTACCCTCGGAACCATCAGCCTGAAGTAAGCGAAAGGGCGCAAGCACGTGCATAAGACGGGTGTGATGTCTACCCTACCTCATCGACCGCACTTCAACCACCCTGACCCCATAATGATGGCGATTGAAACTTTCTGAGTCAAACAAGATGATCGCCAAAGAATACATCTTCCTCAATGGTCTCCTCGGCGCACAACATCGTCGTGCGCGAGAGTAAGACCCCAAGATACATACAATGCCCCCTCGAAAACCCACCAAGACCGGCAAGCCCGTCCGACAGGCTGTACTGAGCGGACGGGTCACTCGAGCACGCAAAGCTGCCATCACTAGCAGCTACAAAGAACCAACTCCACCAGAAGCTTCCCATAGCGAGGATGCGATTTCGGGGGAGAGCGATCGCCAGAAGGACCTTCCGCCGGTTCAGGGAAAGCCACCGGCTTGGGCAGAGGTTTGTCCCATGTAATCCTCATAGAACCTCATGATGAAAGTCCTCTAATGCGAGAGCAGTGCCGTCCTGACCTCTGTGATGCCCTCCCCTGGTTCCGCTCTGCGCAAGGAGGCTACTACCACAATGGCAGTCTGTGCTACGGCTGTCTGGTGGATGCGGACTCGGGAGTCCGGGCCTACATCGATGACGAAGTTGTCATAACTCGAATGTAAGTATCACCGGGGCCACAGCCTGCTCAAATTACCTAGCGAGTGAACTCCAATCGATACAACTAACCTCGCAACTAGTGGCGGTGGGTGCACCAAAGACGCAGAGGGGAACCTTGTGCTGCTCAAAGATCAAGACACTGATAGCGCGATCTTAAGCAGCGTGATGAACAGCTGGAGGCTGCAGAACCCGGTCGGACTCATCATTGGTACGTAGACGACGGGCTTGACGTGGACATCTCGTGTTAACCCCTTGACAGGAGATCGAAACAAGCAATTGAGCCGGAAGCTCGCCCACCGATACAACGTGATGGCCTACTTCCGCATCACAGACGTCTGGCACGAGCAGATCGGCACGAAGAAAGGCGCCAAAGTGCGCTTCGAGAAGCTGGACCTCGCCGCGACAAGCTGGTGGGCGGCCCCGGGCACCACCCCATTGCCCGTGGAGCAACGGGACTTCACACTCGGCCCCGCCACGAAACGCTGCTCGAGCTGTGACCGCGACAGCAAGCAGGTCTACAACGAGGGCTGGATGTGCCTGACGCCGTCCTGCGCCCGGTTCTGGAAGGTCAACGGCGCCACGGCGCCGCCAGGGCACCTCAGCTTCAACGCGGCATTTCTCCGCGCCCGGCTGGCCCCCGACCCGCAGATCCAGCCTCACTTTGACCTGGTCCCGGACCTGCTGGCGACCCTGTCGGAGGACCAGGGCGACCTGGTCTTCAAACGCATCGCCTGGAAGGGGATCGTGTGTCCGCTGTGCTCCCGCTGCATCGCGCGGCGATTCTGGCGCGGATGGAAATGCGCCGACGAGCTCCTCCACAACCCGTCCCAGCAATCGCATCGGTGCAGTTTCGAGCGATACCTCAAGGTGTCGCCGCTCTCGGTCCGGTCCGTGATTGACGAGTTCGAGATCCATCCCGCCAAGCGGGCGCTATACTTCGACCCGAAGCTGCAGCTCCCGAGCGTCGACGACTCATCCTTATATCCGTACCGAAAGCTGGTATATACTCTGCCCGGTGTAGGGTCGGTGACGCATCTGGTGGCCAACCGAGCGATCAACACCCGCGCCAACGGGCCGGATGATCTGTTCAGACGGCTTCAGTCGGTGGATCTGGGACTCCAGCGGTATCCGCTTCAACAGAGTGTCGGTGGGTGCGCCCCTCACCCTCACGGATTCATCGCCCGATCATCACGCTGACCTCTTGCACAGTCCGCGGCACTCTGACGTCTCACTACGCAGTGAACTATGTACGCCCTCCCCTTCCGTTCCTTCTACTATCTATCCCACTCCCAATCCGTCGATCTAACCCTCCACAGGGCTGCCCATACAAATACGTCGTCTCCGTCGCCAGCAAAGGCTTCAACGAAGCCAGCGACGAGGTCCTCCGGGCATTAGGCCGACTGACCTGGGCGACCCAGCAAGCGGTCACCACCGCGGGAGACGCATTTCTGCCCCCCAACGAGCTCCTCCTGCTGGGATACATGGAGGACATGAAGATCGGAGTAAGCCGAACCCCAACGGAGTCAACCCCCCCCTAACAGAACCCAGTACCACGACGACGGCGAATCCTCCCTCGGCCCCACCATCGCGACCCTCTCCCTCGGCGCCCGCGCCACCATGCTCCTGCGCATGAAATACAAATACTACCACGGGTACACCAAAGCCAAGCGTCTGGTAGACGAAGACCCCGCCCTGAACGGATGCGTACACTGCCCCGAGCGGCAGGCGCTGAAGCAGGCTCTCGACGCGGGCGCGATCACGCGGGAGGAATACGAGGCGCAGCGCCGGAGACTGCCCGCCCGGAATCGGAGGGGCATGGCGCCGCCGTGCCTGAGGATGGAGCTCAATCACGGGGATCTGGTGGTGATGCATGGGGAGGGGTTGCAGCGGTTTTATGAGGTATGCTTTTTCCCCCGGAGAATCACAGAGGGATGGGCTGATGCTGATGTTTGACGATACGACTGTAGCATTCGGTGGTCCCCGAGAAGAACCTGCGGTTCGCGCTGACGGCGCGGTATATCAAGCCCGAGTTCGTGGAGGAGGCGGACAGGCAGAAGGGGGTGTTTGCGCTTACGGGGGAGCAGGTTTATGATGGGAAGTGATGTCCCAGAGGAAGAGGAGTGTGCAGTGCAGTGCAGTGCAGTGCAACGATGGGCTTGCTGGATAGTCTACCACCCTCTATATAGCTTTGCTGGTTGCTACAATATACCCAATCACTGATCCCGCCAATTCTCCACCCCATAGTCCACCGGGACCGGATGGTAGAAACTGAACCGTTCAAACGGATCCCACTTCCGCTTCAACGCCGCCAACCTGACCAAGCTCCTCTTCCCATACCACACCTCGGGCCCCTCGTCCCCATGCGCATAGTTATTGTAGAGCACCAGCTGCCCCCGCCCCTCCGGATCCTCAAACCCACTCGTCCGCGCAAACCACTCCCGACTCTCCACGACCCACGCATTGACCCGCTCCTCCGCCCGGTCATCGTCATCCACAAACGTCGCCTTGAAGAGCACATGCGTCTCGATGTCCCGAAACGCATACGCCATGTCCTCTCCCCCTTTGTCCCCCAGCCTCACCGCCTGCGTTGGAAACCGCGAAAACACCACCGACGCCGCGATCCGCCCATGATACTCCCTCGCAAAGCCGGCAAAGGCATCGGTGTACTCCACAAAAGTAGCGACATCGGTGCGCCTGAGCCCGGCACCGCCGTAGATGAGCCGGAGGTCGTGCTCGCAGGGGGAGGGATCCTCGCTGAAGAACAGCTTGGAGTAGAGTTTGTTCCAGGGCAGGACCGGGGCGAAGCGGGCGCGGAGCGGGCCCAGCGCGCGGAAGCGCTGGAGGTAGGGCTCGGCGGCCTCGGGCGGGCCGTAGTAGATGAAGTTGACGAGGATGGTCGCCTATCCTTGTTTCAGCATGCACGCCCTTTCCCATCCTATACTAGTTAGCAGGCGGGTATGTGAGAACATACCATATCCAACCCCGGATTCCACCCCAAAACCACCGTCAACGCCAACACATCCGGCAGTCCCTCGCCATCAAACTCCCGCAACGTCTCCCAGACACTCGCGTTCGCGCTCGCCGCAAACAACATATCGCCCTCCAGCACCTGGCCCGCGTTCGTGGCCTCGTACACCTGGTAGGTGGCCTCGACCACGACCCCGAAGTTCCAGCCGGCGCCGCGCACGCCCCAGAAGAGGTCGGCGTTTTCGGTCGCCGACGCCGTCACCACTTCCCCCGCCGCCGTGACGAGCGTCGCCGAGGTCAGCGCGTCGATCATCAGCCCCCGCCGGCCTTGGAGGGGGCCGATCCCCGCCCCCAGCGTGGCGCCGATCGTACCCACGCATTGGGCGGCGCCGGTTTCTGGTTCCCCTCCCGCCGCCGCATCGCGGTATTAGCTTGGTAATTGGGACAGGTATGGAGGTGGAAGACCAGAAAGAGGGGGGGACAAGAAAGTAACGTACGGATCTCCTTCCCAGCAGCATACAGCACATCCCACATCTCCTGGAACTTGGTGCCCCCGCCGACGGTGAGGCGGTCGCCGGCGGGATGGAGGCGTGCGTACCGGAACTCGCTGAGGTCGATGTTGATGCCCCCCTGCATGTGGGCCAAGGTGGCGGAGACGCCGTGGCCGGCGCCGGTGGCGAGGAAGGGGATGTCGTGGGCGTTGGCGGTTTTGATCTTGGCGTGGGATTAGCTCTGCTCGTGGAAATACTTGGAACGATCCACTGGGGTACGGGGGAAGAAGAGTACAATGTTCTGCACATCCGACACAGTCGCTGCCCGGATGGCTGCCCTATACGACGGGGCCTGGTACGCGGACCAGCGCTGCTGGATCCGGTCCGTCCAGTTCGGCCAGGTCGGGTAGATGATATGCGCGCCGGGCGAGAGGACGGGGCGGAAGAGGGATTCGAGGTCGGGGGTGTTGTGGGGTGCGCTGTCAGTAACATTCTGGGCGTGGGCCGCGAGGGCCAGCGCCAGCAATAGTATGAGGGCAGAAAGGCACGGCATATCGGTTTCGCATGCTTGAACGGTCAGATATGTCAGATTGGCGGGACAGAGTCGGAATTATAGCCTCGTGGGAGGGCATCTGTTGGGCCCAGCTAGTCTCAGCCGCTAATCGATGCTAAATATCTTGGCTGCATTAACTGTTCACGTAGCAAGCCCTAGCCCCGGGTCGGAGATGCTCGTGTCCGAACATGGTGAGATTGCATGTCTGTTCTGTGTTGCTGATAACACATCTTATACTTGCGTAACCTAGGCGAGGAGACTTGCTGCTGTGGCGCAGAAATACTTATAACTAGTTAGCACCAACGGTGTTGTCGATCAACCTTAAAGATAGAACGGCGGCCGTGCGTAAGGCTTCCCGGGGCAATTCAACCCACCTTGAGGCGTCTACACCACCCTCAGTAAAGATCGTATCTCATTAATTAAATCTACCATTACCATGTATCAATACCGATGTGCATACATCCCACTCCCCTCAAAACTCCAACTCCTCCACCTCCATCCCACAATCCACACACGTCTTGACCCCGATCCCCGTCTCGGGATTCTCCACCGACCGACCCCATTGATGGACATGCCGCCCGCCATTCCCCAAATCATCGCCGAACGCCCCGCCGGCCGCGCCCATCCGATTCCGCCGGTACGCATCCACACGCGTCCGCTTCTTGAGGTCCTGCAGCTTCGTCTTGAACTTGGCCTCGCGGCGCCGCTTCTTCTCGCCCTCGCGCCGCTCGAACTCCGCATCCAACGCCTCAGGCGACCCCCACTTCTTGTCGGAAAAGGCATACTCCTCGACCTGGTACCGCAAGTAGAGCATCATGTTGTTCCACGTGGACTTGTGGGGGTTCGGCCGCTCCAGATGCGGCAGCAACTCTTCGTCGCGGAGCTCAGCTACCCACAAGAAGTCAGCATAACCCATCCCTAACCCCCGCCTATATACCCCATACCCTCCGGAGAGAAAAGGAAGAACTCACGATCCGTCAACAGATAATCCTCCTTCGCCTCCGTCTTGGTCAACAGACTGTATCGTTCCGGAAACCGCTCCTTGCAGGCATGACAGACCCGACACCGCAACTCCTCCTCCCACTTCCAATCGATCTCCAAGCTCCCGCACTCGCGACACGCCTTCTGCTTCTCCTTCTCCTCCAGCACACTCAACCCGGGCTCGAAGGGCCCCGCGCGCTCCCGCCGCAGCGCCTTCACCAGCAGCTGCCGCTCCCACTCCTTCTGCGTCATGCCGGCGGGCTTCTGCTCGGCCTTGGGGTCCTGCACGTTCAGCGCCTTGTTGTGGGGGTCGTCGTCCACCGATAGAAACCCGCCTTTCGTGTCCGTCATCTTGCTGAAGTCGTAGTCGACGAATTTCGTGAAGTTGCGCGCCGGGCGGATGGTGTCGAGGGGTCGGGTTGTAGAAGTGGTGGCATCGCGGACGGTGGAGGGGGTGGGTTGCGCGGTCATGGTGGTGTAGCTTCTTTTGACGCCTTTCGTTGCGGTGGTAGTGGTGGCGGCGGCTGCTTCGGCGTCACGCTGCTCGCGAATGGCTTTGGCTTTCATGCGGTTGATTTCCTATCACATTTCACGATTGTCAGGAAGGCTGGAGCGGGGATGTGGAGGAGAAATGGACGACGTACGATCCGCCGCAACTGCTCCGGAGTGAGCGGGCCTCGGGGGAGCTCACCGGGCTTGGTGGTGCCCGTCTTAGGCGGAGGGGTCGAGGGACGGTCGGTTGCCATTTTTTCTGGCCCTCTTCGACTTGTTCGGATTGTAGGCTTTGGAGTGAGGAGGTGTAGATGTAGATGTAGGAAGAGTAGGAGGCGTCGCGGTCGCGGTCGAGGCCGTCGCCACATCACGTGCCGATAAGCATTTTAATTGACGGGCGATAAGAATTCCTCCCGCTACAAAATGACGTCGGACAACTTTTTCTCTGCCTCGGACTCGTCGCTGCCCATGTGAAGTCAACCCTAACTTCGATTCTTTGGACTTTGGAGTCGGGGGGAAACTCTATTGCCAGTCCATGGTTAGGAGAATCAGCGGGGAGAAGAGTAGAAAGCTTGTTCTCAGCAGTCTAGATGTTATGGACTACGCTCATTCATGCAAGCTGGGTGTCTCAGCTGATGATGAATCATGATACCCGATTCTCATGTCAATGACTACGAACTCATACCTTGCATCAAGGAAATGGAAGAGATGAGCATCGACCCAGAAACATCCATTATACTCAAACCAGGCATATCACCTCAAGAACAGGTTTAATGCCTAGCGACTCCAGATCAACCACCACAGACAGCCGATCAAGTGAACCCCTCCCTCTCAGCCCTGACCAGCAACTCCTCCAGCCGCACAAACTCCATCCCGGCGAAGAACTCCTCCTTCTGCCGCAACGTCTTCTCCCGGGGGCAGCAAATCGCCCCTTTAATCGTACACTCCTCCAGCTCCGCCAGCGCGATATTCGGATCATCCGGGGGTGTCGGATGGTGCTCGACATCGTACTCGATCTGCTCGACGGACCGATACTCCCTCTTCAAGGGACGGCCTGCCATCTCCCGGTCATCAGCACACAGCCTCCAACTCCCTTAGACACAGAGTTTGATACAAGGCCAACATACCGTAATACCTCTCCAACAACCCCACCGCCTGATTAAACGTGCCCCATTCCCCAGCCACATAAGTCACCGGTTCCTACCACCCCAACAATTAGCATGCCAGTTCTTCCCCGCTCCAAACAAGAGAAGAAAACATACCCACCGCTCCCGCCCCAACAACCGCACCACCGCCCTGGCCAAATCCCTCGACCACGTCCACGACTGCGCCTCCTCCCCCGACCCCTTCACATGGTACGTCCACGTCTGCGGATCGACCGGAAACTCGCCGGGGATGTACGCCATGTACGACTTGTGTGCCGGCAAGAAATAGTCCATGAACCAGCCGTGGTGGACCAGCGTCCACTCGACGTGGTGGCTGGCGGCCCGGGCCCGCAGGATCTCGCGGAAGGGGGCGCGCGTGCCGCCGTAGGAGCGCGGCAGCAGCGGGAAGTCGTCGATGTTGCCGGCCCACTCGGACGGGATCAGGCGCTTGCAGGTCTGCGAGGCGATGCACGCGTCCAGGAGGTGGGTGTGCAGCGGGAGGTAGGCGTCGTTGGGGCAGCGGATGAGCGAGAGGAGGGTGGTGGCCTGCGTGGTGTTGAGGATGGGGACGAGGGAGGTCGGCGTGTAGTCGGTTTGGTGGGTGGTGATTTTGGGGTGGTCGGTCCAGGGTGGGGGGTTCTTGTTCTGGTTCTTGTATCAGATAGCGATTGTGGATTCTTGTGAGGGGGGTGGGAATGGGGGGAAGTCGGGGAGGAAACTTGGAAGAGATAGGGTCTGTACCGATCGAGTTAAGATGGCCACGGTGTAGTCCGGGCTGCTGGTGATGGTTTCGGCGAGATACCGTCCGAATCCGCCGGTTCCGCCTGCGAGGATGATGACTTGGGGAGCCATGATGCAGCAGGAATTCTGGTTTCAATTGTGATGGTGAACGGTGGGATAAGATGCGGGAGGATGGGCTCGGTGCTGCAGTGTGCAGGTTGGTTGTCACAGAGGCAGCTTTGGATCCGTGTTTATATGGACTTTTACTTTCGAACACATGGGCTACTTGCTTGCTTCAGTGGATCGACCTCGGATCCAGCTGCGGTGTTACAGTCTCTGACTCAGAGACCATGCAGTCGACTTAACTTAGATGTCCTGTAGGTCGCGCTGAGTCAGAACCTTACTGTCGAGGATGTGAAGTCTCAGCAGTTGCAGTGATACTCGTATTCGGCGCATCCTGCGAGTGGGGTTCTCACTGGCTTAGGGTAAACATCGAGTTGTGCAACTTGTTTAGCTGGCTGAGGAATTGGAATCCCGAGGCGATCAAGGTTGCATCGATGCGGCATCAAGTCAGCCCAGAATGGATTGCGAATGCTGACACACGTTACATCTTCTCAAGATCATGGCTGGTGACACAAGCATGGTCGAGGAGGCGTGGAAGGGATATCCCGACTTACCAGTCTGTGAGGTCGTCCGGACTTCGAGTATAGACCCTGATAACTGCCATATAATAGCTCCATTTGCTCGTGCCCGCCCCAGTGTCCATCTTGGCAAGACCATATCCCAGCCGATAAATCACTACTGCCTGCACAACAATGACAGAATCACCAACCATGGAACCACCAAGCAGCAAGGGCGTACAGTGCGTCCCCAAAGACACGCCCCTCCCCGAGATCCTCGCCCACATGAAGCGCGACGGCGGAGTGATCATCAAGAACCTGATCGCCGAAGAAGACATCGACCGCACCTACGAGGAAGTCAAAGAACGGCTCGCCCAAGACCCGGAGTGGGATGGGGTGTTCTTCCCCAGTGCGCCCCCCACCCCCCTACACCAACCCCTCTCTCTGACAACCACTCACCCGCATCTAGAAGAAACGAAGCGCGCCAACTCCATGATCGCCATCAGCCCGACCTACACCAAGACCCAGCTCATGAACCCCATCTACCAAGCCATCTGCACCCACTTCCTGACGACCCGCCACTGGTTCTGGTGGGGCGAGCAGCGCAAGGAGTCCATCTCCAAGCCCTACGTCTCCACCTGCACGGCCATGGAGATCGGGCCCGGGGCCCAAGCCCAGCCGCTGCACCGGGACTCCTTCGTCAACCACACGTGGCTCCCCGAGATCGCGGAGTGGGACGACGAGCGCGACCGCCACCGCGAGACGGAGATCGGGATGATGGTGGCCGGGTGCAGGGTGACTCGGGAGAACGGCGGGACGGCGTTCATCCCGGGGAGTCATTTGTGGTGCGTACTGTACCTAGCCAGCCCCTTACCATACCATCCACCCCATTTATATACTAAATCACCATCAGGGCCACCGACCGCCCAACCCCGCCGCTCGTCCGCGACACCGTCTCCGTCGAGATGGACAAGGGCGACGCCTTCGTCCAGTTCGCCTCCACCTACCACGGCGGCGGCCGCAACACCACCGCCGACCAGAAGCGCCTGTGCTATGCCACCTTCATGGTGCGCGGGTATCTGCGCCAGGAGGAGAACCAGTTCCTGGCCGTGCCGAGGGAAGTCGCCCGCCGGTACGACCGCCCCGTCCAGGAGATCATCGGGTACTCGCTGAGTGACCCGGCGTGTGGGCATGTGGAGCAGCTGGATCCGATCTATGTGCTGCGGCCCGAGTTGTTGGGGGAGGGGAGGCCGAGGGATTGGTGATTGCCCTGGTGCTTGGTAGGGTAGGGGTGGGGCTGTGGTTTGATTCGCAGGTTTAGGACTTGAGGTGTGTTGTAGTCTGTTGTTTGTGTATGTGGGAAAGTGATTAGGTTATAGGCTGAAGATTGGATTGTTGTGATGAGGTAGTGGGTATGTGTGGTTGGTTGTGGGGGGGATACTGCGCTTGTCATTGTGAATTTCTTCTGAGGTCGGGTAGGAGCACCGTCCTCTCAGCTTGTCTCAGCATTAGCCTGGTGAGCCTTGCGCGGAGAGCGCGAATCAGACCTAGAGGTTGTAACAGTGGCTGTGGTGGTGATTGCTGGGTAACGCTTGATATCTGCGTCATCCCAGTTCATGGAGGCATCCATTACTGCGTGTGCGTATGCTCAAAACAAGAGTGTTCTTTCGATGAATGCACTCCCTGAGCACCAATGACCGAGTCTACTACAAAGGGATGCATTTACCCCATCAATAAACTAGCAGGTTGTCTCAGCTCTGGTACACTATACGCAGATAACTACATAGTACATCTACCGATGGCCACCCAACACACCCCACATAGAAACCTCTACAGGCAAAGAAAAGCAAAGAAACACAGCTATCCCTAAACTTCATTTTCAGACAGACAATCCTACAAAGCACCCACGTCACACAAGGGCTGACTATCTCCAAAAGCAAAAGAAGACCTGCTGATGCAGGTTCCAGCCACCCGGCTCTACCACGCAGCCGGCACGAACCTCACCCCCATCGCCCTATTTTCAAACCCATGCATCCGTATCCACCCGGCTGACCCGCAAAGCAACCCCAGACCTTGACTGCTCATCCGTGTGCCAACCAGCAGAGCAGCTACCGGCGTCGCTGGTGCCACCATCCCCAAACCCAGCCCGCAGGGCGCTTCTCCACCCCAGCCCGAAGGCTCTGCCACCCCTAGTCAAGTCCAGTAAGACCAATCCCAGACCCCGCACCAGCCCCTGCAACCTCAACCCCCGAAACATTCACTAATGATCCCCAAGAACAACAAAAGTCCCGATCCCCATCAGCAGACAAAAGATAGCTATCCCAAGCCAACAAAGCAATTAGCGCATCCACCCCACTTGAAACCGAAGAAACCCCAGAATAGACAAAACGTACCCAGAACCAGATTCATGTAGAAATAGCCCACCGCCTCAGTCAACGCCCCGGAGACCAAGGGGCCGACGAACATGCCCCCCTTCCAGGTGACATTGGACAAGGAGAAGGAGCGCGAGTAGCCGCCGTTGGAGCCGAAGATGCCGGGTATCTCGTCGGCGAGCTCGTTCGCGCCGTCTGCACTCATCAGCATCCTCCCCACTCGCCATAAAGCAATCCCGTGGGGACCGAGGTAAGGTCAGGGTAAATGACAGAAGAACCGCGAGAAGGACGGGATCAACCCACTCAGAACCTCCACCCCGCCATACCCCAGAATCAACGTCCTCCACACCCCGATCGCCACCAAGCTCACCAGATACACCACAGCCCCGCGCGTCCCCAAGAACCCCTGGTGGCCCGGGAGACCCAGCAGCACCAGCGACGGCGCCAGCAGCCCGAACCCCAGGGAGACGGGGTACCGCAGCCCGACCCGATCCTTGAGCCCGCCGACGGGCACCACCAGGAGCAGCGTCGGCGCCTGCAGCAGCAGGAACAGGAGTCCGGCGTGGAAGCCGTCCCAGCGGAAGACCTCGCGGATGTGCAGCGGGATCGTGGCCTCGAAGCTCGCGATGACGACGGCCAGCAGCGTGTCGCCGAGCAGCCCGGCGGCCACGCGCTTCTTGCGCAGGATGAGCCAGTAGATGTTCGCCTTGTCGGGGGTGCTGCTTCCCGCTGGACTTGGGGGGTCGGTGTCGGTGGTGGTGGGGGTTGTGGTTGCGTGGTATGTGTAGGAGCGGGCTTCTGCGGCCGGGCTGGACGGGAGGAGCGGAGCGGTGGTGGCGTCGAGGGTCTGGGCCTCGCTGTTCTGCTCCTCGTCTCGCGTGCCCGTGTCTTTGGGAGCGGTGGTGGAACTGGCGCGCGCTCCGTCCCCGCGCGGTTCGAGGACGAGCAGTTGCAGGGCCAGCCCGATCAGCAGGACGAGGAACGCGCTCGACCACATGACACCGTAGGAGACGAACTTGTACAGGGCGGCCGACACGGCCGGCCCGGTCAGCAAGCCCGCGGAGACCAGCAGGACCGCGACCCCGAACGCCTTGCTCAGGTGCCGCGCCCCGGCCGCGTTGGCGAGCATCGCCATGCCGACGATCCAGATCACCGAGCCCGCGACGGTCTGGATGAGGCGGCCGATGATGAGTCCGGTGACTGCGGGGGTCTTTGCATCAGCTCGGCTCTATGCCTTTGTGGTGAAAATGAAGGGAGCTACCTACGTGTCGTCGACCACGCCGTCACCACCGTCCCGAGCATGTTCACCCCCCACGCGGCGATCAGCAACCCATTCCGCGAGGACAGTTTGTCCGCCACGTAGCCCGTCACGGGCGCGAGGATGATCGAGACCAGGGCGTTCATGGCGAGGATGATGGAGGTCAGCGCCTGGATGCGCGCGGCGGGCTGCTGGAGGCGGCTCTCCAGGATCTCCGGCAGGATCGGGATGATGAAGGTGAAGAGGAAGTTATCTGTGGAATCCCCTGTTGTCAGTATTCCCTGGAAGAACCCGATTGTCCGCGAGGTTTCTGGAGAATTGGACCAACCTGAAAACAGAGCCACCGATACTATCGCAATGATGTACAGTCCCGAGGATCGCCATCGATGGCCGAAAGGCTTGGACGGTCTCGCAGCGCCCCGTGCCATTGTGCGCAGTCGCCGACGATAGTGAGATAATTGCTCTCTCGACTCATCATTGTATGCTTTTCGGTATAAATGAAGGTCAGATACAAAGAACGTCTGGAAGTTGTTTCCCATCCCCATTCAGCAGGTAGTTCCATGGTTACTCAATGGCCGTAACATTGCATATGCTGTTGCACCAGTTCGCTCCGGTGTCTGCCGGGGAGCAGGAATCCGGGTGATACAGTCGAGTTGGGTATACGAGGCTCGCGCCACTCGCTCGGGTGTGCTGACTGGGCGGGATGCGGATGCGTATTAGGAATGTGCGGTGTGTTTTTCGTTTTGCTCAGCTTGCGTGATGAGCCCGGCTCTAGTGGGTGGGACTGGCTGGTTGTTGCCTGGGAAAGTGAGGATAGTACTCTACGACTGGCTCTCACTGGAGGACGGACTATTCGGAGCATCGATGTAGGAGCCCGAGTCTGATATTCGGATGAATATGCTTGCTGCCTTGTGCTTAGGCACCTTAAGCGCGTCCGAAGATGTCACTTCTCAAGCTCCATTGTCGTCACCAAGTACAATGTCCGATATGCATTCTATTAAACCCACGTCTATGCTATGAGCCGGAAAGGAAAACGGTGATGTAAATATATCCTCAGAACAAGATGCAGTGTTGCAAAGGCAGGTCAGACCCGCAGCGAGCGGTTAGTGTAGAATCCCGAGCCAGCAGTCTTTCTGTCACCTCTAACTTTTTTCGACGATCATTAAGCATGTACTCCACATATCTAGGCAATCACAGCCTCCAAGGCCTGCTCGAAGATCTTCAGGCCCGTCTTGAGCTGCTCCTCGGTGATCGTCAACGAAGGCACGAACCGGATGCAGCCCTCACCGGCGGTGATGATCAGCATGCCACGCTCGCGAGCAGCCGCCACCAAGTCTCCAGCCTTGGCGCCGAACTCGGGGGTGAGTTGCACACCCAGGATCAGACCGCGACCGCGGACCTGCGAGATGACGTTCGGGTGCTTCTGCTTGAGGGCAGCAAAGCCGGCCTGCAGCACGGCCGACTTGTCCTCGACCTGCTTCTGCAGCTCGGGCGAAGCCAACCGCCTGACGATGTGGTGGGCGACGCGGCAGGCCAGGGGGTTACCACCGAAGGTGGTTCCGTGGTCGCCCGGCTTGATGTGCGACGCAACCGTCTTCTCGGCGATGATGGTGGCCCCGATGGGGAAGCCGTTGCCCAGCGCCTTCGCGGTGGTCAGGATGTCGGGGTGAGCGGCCTCGCCGGAGGCGGGCGCCAGCGAAGGGTGGCCGTGCGCCCAGAGGCTGCCCGTTCGGGACAGACCGCACTGGATCTCGTCGAAGATCAGGACGGCGCCCACCTCGTCGCAACGCTTGCGCAGAGCAACCAGGAACTCGGGGGTGGCAACGTTGACACCGCCCTCACCCTGGATGGGCTCGACGATCACACCGCAGGTCTTGTCGGTGATGAGAGTCTGGAGCTGCTCCACGTCGTTGTAGTTTCCGTACTTGAAGCCCGGCAGCATGGGCGAGAAGGGGGTCTGGTACTTGGGGTTGGGGGTCGCGGACAAGGCACCCATCGTGCGGCCGTGGAAGGAGTTGTGGAAGGAGACGAGCTCGTGCTTGGCGCCCGAGGGGTCGCGCGAGCGACCGACCTTGCGGGCGAACTTGATGGCAGCCTCGTTGGCCTCGGTACCGGAGTTGGCGATGAACACCTGGGAAGCGTCACGCATGGCACCGGACTCGCGGGTGACCTCGATCAAGAGCTTGCTCAGGGCTCCGGTCCAAGCATTGTAGTACAGGTTCGAGGCGTGGATGAGGATTTCAGACTAGAGGAGAGGCCCTCACCATTAGTATTTCGGGAGCCAGCATATGTGGAGAGTCTGGGTGCACACCTGTTCGGCGATGATCTTTGCGATCTCAGGGTCACAGTGACCAAGAGAGTTGACAGCAATACCAGACGTCATATCAAGGTACTTTCTGTTCTCCATATCCCAGAGATAGCTGCCCTGACCCTTGACCATCACCGGAGGTGGCCGGACGTAGGTGGGGACCATGAACGGGGTTTGAGCATTGATGAAGGAGGAGGAAGCGGAATCGGCGGTGGGATCGGGGTTGGGCAAGGAGCTTTCATCCTGGAGAATTGATCACACGTCAGTATAGAGTGCGATACCCAAGGGATTTCCAATCTGCACATCAGGAGATTCACCTTTGCTTGGGGAGCAGCTGTCGCGCTCAAGGACCGCACGGGCACTGCGGTGAACCGAGGCCGGAGCACGGAGTTGATTTCAGGAACCAGCTTCCTGGCAGCGGGCAGACGCCGCGAGGCAAGGTGTAGAAGAGCCATTGTATGAACAGATACTGGGGAATTGACAACGTGTCGACCTCTGGCAACCGGGGGAACTTTATACCTGGCGGAGGTATTAGGTACTAGGTAGGGAAGCGCGATTTAATGACTCGACGGGCACGCACGCTCGCAGAAGAAGAAACACCGCACCGCAGCCCGACAACCTATCGGAGCCGAGAATCGGAGCGGCAGGCCAACGCCGTGAGTCACCTGAGTTTGCCATGTTTGCACCTGCCAAGAGTCGCCCACTCAATTTGTTGAAGGCTTGAAGCTAATCCGACAGGGTAAGGACGCGGTGCGGGTCCTCGGACTGCAGCGCAATCAATCTTTCAAGGCCCCGATGTCCGTGTCATTTTCCTTCCCACTTGCATCTGACATGATTGAACATTCACCCCCCAGTACGAAAGAGGAATCCGAGGATATGGAAATGAATCTGGACATCCCTCAAGCAGTGGCTTACAAGTTGCTTGAGGTCTTCAGGTACTTCCTGTATGATTGAGTCACAGAAGAGTATCACACAAAGTTGCTACAATACAGCCAAATTTCACTGAGTAGTATTTTGCATAACAGGCTACTCCACAATCGTATCCACTCCGATTAAGCGATTGTACCACGTACCCACCTGCCTACCCATCAATCATGTCCTTGGCTCTCTGTGGAGGATGCACTGCAGCCGGGTCGTCCGACGAGCACCGCGACAGGTTCCCTGACTCTATCGCATATTCCATATGACGGTGAGCCACATCCGAAACACTGTCCACTGCCGTCATACTTGTTGCTTCGCTGGCTTGACTGGCAGTTCGGCTGTTGATCTGAGTTTCTGGCTTGGGTTTGGTGAAGGGGTCCTCTCCCGGTTGCTGCTGCTGCTGCTCCTCTGGATTGATGATTCCCATCTCAACATACCGGTCCATCTCGTCCGTGTCTTTCTGGGTTGACTGTCTCCTAATCTCCCGAACAAACGAACGGCCCTTTGTCCACCAACTGGGTTTCCTCTGGCCAACGCCCATGTCGTCTGCGATGGCATTATCGAGGTCACCGCGACGAGCGATTAGAGCCTGGTCGTCGTTCAACTCACAGTGACCACAGATGTTGAACAGGATTATCAGGAGGAGCGGGGGCGTATAACCCAGTCCGTAGATCCAACCGCCGCTGACACCATATCTCAACGGTGACACCGTCCAGTCATACGCAGATGCAATTGCATATCCGACTTTGAACCCGAGTAACACGAGGGCCACGAGGAATTGGGAGGGTGCGGCATTGAGGTAGAACATAAGCTGGCCCCAGGTACTCGTCGGGCGGATGCGGTAGCGGTACAAACTGTGCTCCAGGCTATAGCAGATAACGAGAACGCCACCCATGGCTAGGAAGCTGGCGATGCGCCATCGGATGTCCGTCGCGGCAGGTTTCGCATCCGCCATCTGTTGCTCCAAGCTTCGTTGCCTTTCGATCGGCCCCCAGGAGCGCGGCACGGTCAGGAAGAAATTCGCGAGGGCTAAGCCGTAGAATATCATCGGCAGCACGAATTCTTGGCCTCGGCGGGTACTGGACTTGCTGAATGCGTAAGGGTCTCGATCGATGATCTGTCGCTCCTGCCAAGAGCCCCTGGGGGTTGTCGCGGGTTAGAAACGATCCAGGAGAGATGGATTCATAGACGAAGATCCGGCTTACCAGTGCCGAACAGCTTCCCACACGACCGCCATCATCACGGGGGTGAGAATGGTATAGAAGACACTCTGCAGGATCAAGGGACTGTTCACCACATAGTCCCGATCCACATCGATGCTCATGAAACAACTAATCGCTCCGCAGCCGGCAAGCACGAGCATCCAGATCCATTTGGCTCGGCGACCCAAGAGTCTCCACCGTCGATCATGCGGTAAGTATCGTCGCCCGTGTTTGCGCAAATTGACCAAGGTGAAGAAAATGGAGATGGAGAACATCAGGGCGAAGGCCAGGCCTGCTGCTGCATGGGAACCCATATCCCGGACGGGCGCATAGCACGAGACTCCCTTGATGACCGTCCCGTTCTCCGTCTGCATATGGGGCTTGAACTGGTTGAATGCAAGATAGCAATCCGTGCCATTGGAGAGCGTCCCGTTGCTGTAGAGCTTGTAGTGGTAAAGATCGAGGGCGGTGCGATTGAAATGAACCTCGTTGATGAGTACATCGGTGGAGTTGGCGCCGGCCTCGAAAGGCACGACAGCGCGAACGTACAGTAGCGTCATGGCGTGGTCGGTTCAAGGTAGGATGGCCCCCAGGCGAGAAGGCGATCGGCTTGGAGACTTGCAAGTTCCCGAGCAGGGAGTGAGGCCGATGATCACCATCAGGATAGTTGAACAATCGGAGGGAACCGATGAGACCAGATGGAAGAGCGAGCTACAGCTGCTCGGGACGCGACGGAGCCATGACGGCGGGACATCAGCGACAAGGTCGCATCCAGGGACGAGTCGATGATGCGCCGAGGACCCAAGCAACCCAATCAGAGTCTGGACCCTGGCTTTTGGGTTCGGGTCATGATCCGTCGAGCGAGGATATGTAGTGCATCCATGGCCGGATTGGAGGGGTGATGAAGAGTGCAAAACTCAGTAGTATACTTAAAGAAGAGAGAATCAATACTTGATGGAAGGAAGGACAACGGGTGGAGGCGAAGGCACTGGCCGCGACTGGAGGAAATGAGGAAATGCGACCGGTCCCCGGGCTCCACCACGGGCGCATCAACCATACCCAAAGAGCTCCACCATGAATACTCACAGCTGCACCTCAAGATATCACACTCATAGATAGCATATCCAGGAATCAAATGCGAAGGAAGGAGAGGCCAGCCAAGCCTCAGGATAATCAGACGGGCTACTAACAACGACAACCACCATAAAAACCACAAAAAGCTCACAACTGTCAGGGGGCAGCCCGCTACGCATCGATTCTACTTTTTAAGGCATACTCCCCAACAGTGCTCACGAAAACCCCTCAGTCTAACTAACCAGTCCCCGGGATTTTCATACCAGTTCTTCATCCCGATGGGTGGAGGGCTACTCTGCCTTTTATCTGCTTGCGTCAAGCTAAGGTTCGCCCTCTCCACGGTTCGAACGCAGGCTGGCGGCACCACACCACGTCACCACCCCCGTTGCACCACCCGGCCTGCTGGTTACCGTGCCAAGACCTTTTTGGGATTATAGCCCAGCAACGACTAGCCGTTTTGATCAATATATTCACGAGATATCGCCGAACCCCAGACTCGGGAGGCTTGGCATGGTTTGCCAAGAACTTGCCCACCTCCCCTCGTCTTTCGCTTGTTGTATGCGTAGGTATACCGAGTAGTCGTCTATTGGGCGTAGTTGTCATCTTTGCTATCACCAAGTCGGTTCTATTCTATTCACAGCGGGAGAGATGATTCAGTAGTCTATTGTATGGGAATTAGCATGCTCGTGTCCAGTCGGTGTCTTCCATATTTACCCTCTAGCACATTCAGAATGGTACGCTACGGACATATCTTGTACTACCTGTACTACGACGGACGGAGGTAAGGTTTTAAAAAGATTCCTTACGAATTGCCTGATATTGAAAGAGTGACTATAGAAGATAATCGCTTAGAGTTACGGTCGCTGTGGCGGCAGACGCGCCCTACCCGGTCGGATATTGCACAGTTGAGAAGTCTTCCTGTTGCCTTGCCTTGGAGGCATCATAACCAACCAAGCTTGAAAAAGATGTGACGGAAGAAGTTTGTCCGGCTGTGTGGAGTTAATTGTACTAAAGATGTACTAAAGATTGACGAAGCATTGTCGGGTTGGAACAATATTACCCCCAAGCCAGCCAGCAAGCTGCATTGCATGCACGGTTGTTGGCATTGCGTTCCAGGCTAATTGCAAGCCCCACTCCAGCGGGCTGTCAGAGTGCTAGCCAAACCTGGGGATTGATTGCTTATAGTGCGGTGCTGCAGGAATGCCTCCGCATGACGAAGCTTGTTGCTCACGTGGTGTCCGTGCGCCATGCTTTGCTGCAGACTTGGTCCAGGAAAAGGGGCCCTCATTGAAGGGAGTGCTTCGCTTCCATTCTCTCTCAAGCTCTTCTGCCGCTCGCATTGCATGACATGATGGTTTCTCACAAGGGTTCGGCTGGACGGAAACGGTGCAGAGTAAATGACAGAGAGCAACGGGCAAGGACAAGATCGAGACGAGTTCATTCCACCAATTGGTAACTACATTGCATGAACGACCATTATGCCGTGACGAATACATCCAAGCGAGCTGCAAGCTGCCCTGCAAACCTCCTCATCTTGCACCGGATCACTCTAGCTGCAGAGCTGCCGAACGGCGGATCAAGCCACCAGCCCCTCAATCTTATTACTTTGGGTGGTGGAATCGTCATCAGTCCGAGCCGTCTCCGACCTCTTAGTACTGCTGAGCCAATCGCCAGCAATGCGCGTGCCGCAGGGGTCACGTATCTTCATCGCCATCCCAATCCTCCTCGAGACGAGCCCTGACCGCAACCCCGACGGCCAGCCATGATTTTCCCACCATTTGGCATGTATATCGTCAATTCTCCCAGCCTGGCAGGGATCCTGTCCTCGCGCAGGCAAATCATGCTGAAACTGCCGGTTCATGGGGTTTAATCTAAACAATAATCCCACCACGGAAATTCACGCCCCGAGTTTAGGAACTATATCCGTCGCTCCCCAGCAGTATTTAAGGCCAACACCCAAGCCTTTTGTCCAAGAAAAGCCAAGTCGACTAAGGACGGGCAATCGAAAGCTTGGTTTTTCTTGTTGTCACTCACGTTGTTTCTTGCGACCATGCTCGTCAACTCGGCCGTTTTCTTTTCGCTGGCCCTCGGGGCCATCGCCGTCAGCGCCAACCCGGCCCCTGAGCCCCCTGCGATCACCGCAGCGCCCAAGGTGGGCGATTTGGAGAAACGGGCGACCACCTGCACGTTCTCGGGCTCCAACGGTGCCTCCTCGGCGAGCAAGTCGAAGACCTCCTGCTCGACCATCATCCTCTCCAGCGTGGCCGTCCCATCCGGCACGACCCTGGACCTGACTGACCTGAACGAGGGAACCCACGTACGTATTCCGCTCCCTTTCCACACTTCCTCCGTACCCTAAATGGATGTCACGCCAGGTCATCTTCGAAGGCGAAACCACCTTCGGCTACGAAGAATGGGCCGGCCCGCTGGTCTCGGTCTCCGGCACGGACATCACCGTGACCGGGGCCAGCGGGGCGTACCTCAACGGCGACGGCAGCCGCTGGTGGGACGACGAGGGCTCGAACGGGGGCAAGACCAAGCCCAAGTTCTTCTATGCGCACGATCTGACCGACTCGGTCATCAGCGGCATCTACATCCAGAACTCCCCGGTGCAGGTGTTCAGCGTCGACAACTCCAACTACCTGACCCTGGAGGACATCACCATCGACAACACGGACGGTGACGATGACGGCGCCGCGAACACGGACGGGTTCGATATCGGTGACAGCACCTACATCACCATCACCGGCGCGAACGTGTACAACCAGGATGACTGCGTCGCGATCAACTCGGGCGAGGTACGTCCGAACGACCCCCAACTTCCCCCGTCTTTTCCAAGACAAGATCGAACAGCAAGCTAACCCACACGCGACAGAACATCTATTTCTCCGGCGGCGTCTGCTCCGGCGGCCACGGCTTGTCCATCGGCTCCGTCGGCGGCCGCAGCGACAACACCGTCAAGAACGTGACCTTCTACAACTCGGAGATCAAGAACTCGCAGAACGGTAGGCCGCTCCTTGCCCAAAAGAACAAGTCAAGTCCCGCATAAGCTAACAACCCCAGGCGTCCGCATCAAAACCATCTACGGCGACACCGGCTCCGTCTCCGAGGTGACCTACCAGGAGATCACGCTCTCCGAGATCACCGAGTACGGGATCATCGTGGAGCAGAACTACGACGACACCTCGGAGGCGGCCACCACCGGCGTTCCGATCACGGATTTCGTCCTCGATGGCGTGCAGGGCACCGTCGAGAGTACGGGCACTGATATCTATATTGTGTGCGGCTCGGGCAGTTGCTCCGACTGGACGTGGACGGATGTAAGTGTCTCCGGTGGGAAGACGAGTTCGTCGTGCACGAATGTGCCGAGTGGGATTAGTTGTTAGTTTTTGAGGGGGTGGAGAGGGTTGGGGGGTGGTGGTGGTTGGGGTGGATGGGATGGTGTATGTACTGTAGCAGAGTGGTATTTTTCGGGTGGGTGTTGAATTTCAGGTCGTGCGTTGAGGATTCTGCCTTCGGTGCGTATTGGAGAGTCTTCGTGGAAAAATATTGATGGGTGGCAATTGACGCAGTAGATGATGAGGAGACAGCATTGATCGGTGCGTAGAAGACTTTGGAGCGCAAGGGAAGGTGGTTTGCGAATCCATAATTTGACAACGACCCTTGGTCTGGTGAGCTGCGAGGGAGGATTTAGTCATGGGACATCCGTCGCTTTACGCATATTCTGCGAGCCGCTAGGGCCGGGGTCTCGGCCAAAACCATTCCAGCACATTTACACACATTGCGCTTACACTTCAAGCCCCGACGGCGCTACTCTTCCAGCCGAGCATACATCATCATCATCATCATCATCATATTCCACGGTCCTGTCAAACTTTTATCTAAGCCCAACCCCCAACCCCAACCCCAATCTACTGCAACCGCTGAATGACCTTGATCAGATCCGCCGACACGCCCATGGCAGTGACATCGCCACCGGCACCGGCACCCTGCACGATCAAGGGGTTAGCGCCGTACCGCTTGGTGTAGAAGCTGATGATGTTGTCGCTGCCCTTGAGGCCGGCGATGGCGCTGTCCTTGTCGAACTTCTCCAGGCCGACGCGGACCTTCTTGGCGCCGACATCGACACTCCCGACGAAGCGCACGACCTTGCCCTCCTTCTCGGCCCCCTCCTTGATGGCGGTCATCTGGCCATCGAACTCGGGCAACCGCCTCATGAACTCGGCAATGCCCTCCGCCGTCGACGGCACATCGGCCAGCTCCTTGGGGATGAGCGACTCGATAGGGAAGGAGTCGGGGCTCTGGACCTCCAGGCCGGCAATGCGGGCGAGGATGGTCAGCTTGCGCGCGACGTCCATGCCGTTCAAATCATCGCGGGGATCGGGCTCGGTGTAGCCGAGCTCCTTGGCCTGCGCGACGACCTCGCTCCACTTGGCGGAGCTGGCCGCCCCGACGGGCGCGAACGTGTTGAAGAGGAAGGACAGCGTGCCGGAGAAGACGCCCTCGATGCGGGTGACCTCGTCGCCGGTGGCGACCAGGTCGCGCAGCGTCGAGATCACGGGCAGGCCCGCGCCCACGGTGCTCTCGTGGTAGACGAGGGCGTTGCCCTCGGCCGCCGCGGCGAAGATCTCCTTCCACAGGCTCAGGTCCGACGAGAAGCCCTTCTTGTTCGGGGTCACGATCGAGATCCCCCGGCGCAGGAAGGTCGGGTACGACGACGCCAGCGCCGGGTCGCTCGTGTTGTCGACAAGAATCGACCGGCCCGGCGCCGAGGACAGGTATGCCGCGATCTCGTCGGGAGTCAGCGCCCCGGACTTGGTCAGCTGCGCCTCCGCCGAGGCGGTCTTCCAGTCCGCCGCGGGGATGGCCGGCGTGTAGGAGGGCGTCGGCGAGAGGAGCGTCTGCGTCGACCGCGCGAGGAGGATCAGTTGCGGGGCGTTGGGCAGGCGCGCCAGCTGGCTGAGAAAGGAGGTTCCCACGCCTCCGACGCCTGGTTGGAGATGGGCTGGTCAGTATGGGTGGGCACTTGGCTTGTGGTGAGGGGGAGGGGTGGCCGTGTTGGTGGGGGAGCAGCAGGGAACACAATGTGCAATTGTCGTTGTGACGGGTGGTCTGCTTTCCAGGCTACTTACCAATAACACCGAGATAGATAGGAGCAGGCATGATGAGATGGTCAATTGGTCTGTTTCTGGTTGATACGTTGTCCTGAAGCAGCAGGAAGAGGGGAAGAGGAGAAGACCGAAGCAGCTCAGCTTCAAAAGCCGCTGCGGGGCAGCGCTGACTCATCGTCCTATATCGGCGCACGCCTTGTGGCTTGGCAATTTGAATGGCGCAGTTGCATCCAGCAGTAACAGTGCTATATCAATGAGAAAACCTGTATAGCAATACTATGCGCGACCTTCACTCTTGGAATCACTTCGTATATTTTTATTCTGGATTAAGAATTTCGAAGTATGATGCAGACTTGTGCCGTCAGAGTCATTATCCTCATCAGAACAATATATTTCGAGCGCTCTTGACAGGGCGGATGTACTCAGCACCTCATCTGCATGGGATGACAAAGCCTTTGAGAGCAAGAAGCCCCAGCTCATCTTGTGCCCCAGGATCTCTTTGTGGTCGATACTATTCTGAGCGCATCTTGTTCGACCGCTTGGGGTGCCATTGTCATGACACAAACAACAAAGACACACATGATATACCATCGAACCAACGAGCAGGTTTATCTTTGATCCTATAACACCTGGAAAAAGCATTCTGTATATACAATCCTGAAGTATTGCATTGTATGATCATACCTTACAATGTCTACAGCCACAAAGCAATGTGTGAAGCTAGCGCTAAAGGACTCGAGCTGTACTTATCCTTCATAGTTGCCGGCAGTGACTACTAATACCTCTCGCAAAGCATTCACTGTGAACACCACTATCTGCATCTTTTACTTCCTATAGAGAAATTATACTTCGTGCAGAGATCCTATTCTGAAGATATTATACTCAAGCATGACCCAGGAATCCCGCAAGCCAAAGCAAAGTGCAGAAACTCCACCCACGAAGGTAAGCTCACGCCGCGCACTGCTCTACGCACAGGAACTCAACAATCCCTCGATAAACCCCCCACCATTATCCCTAACCATCACTCAGAAACGACGAACCTCCCCACGGCAAGAATACACAATCCCCCCATTAGAACTACCCCCGAGCAGCATCCCCTTTGTAACCCGACCCTGGTGCGCCATCAACGGCGGCAAAGGCACCCCCCTCCCTCGACAACCCCGAACCGAAGGCCAAAGTCTGCTGTGGACCGTCCCATTCGGCTACCGCCCCGAGGATGGAGCCTTTACCGTGACCGATGCGCTGCTCCAGACACATCTGACGAGACTGTACGCCCAGATCCAGCGGTTCCGGGAACGATACTCGTGCAGCCCGGCAGAGATCACGCAGTTAGCGCCCATGAAGAAGAAAGCCATCGTCCAGCATCTGGGGTCCTTCTGTCGGTGTACGGACTGGCCCTCCATCAACAAGATGCTCAGCGCTAGGTCCTACGAGCGGTTTCTGCACAAGTTGCTGGAGACGGTGCTGGTGAAGCAGTGCTTTGAGAAGGTCATCTCAAATCCGTTCTTCCATGTGACGCCGTCGGTGGCGGTCGGTGACGCTGGATGTTCGTCCTGGTCGTTTGGCGCGGAGCTTAGGGGGTTGTATGAGATGCTTTTGAGGGGTGAGTTTGTGCAGTGGTTTGTTTCGAGGTCCAAGGAGACGTATATTGAGGGCTTAGGCTGACGAACGGTTGGTGGTGATGGTAGTGAATCGAGCCAAGGCCCACGAATGGCGACAGACGCTGACACATCTCCTGCAGGCGGATTATCATGGAGGATCGGACGATTGGCGGGTGGCGTTCGCGGCTAGCGAGAGCTTAGAGACGGCCTGTCAGAGCTTTGCCCTGAGCATGCTGGAGGAGTGTGAGGCGTTCCGCGTGCTTCTGCGGGACCTCGGGGATAGCGAAGGCAGTGATGAGCGGTGCCGGGACCTGGTGGAGATCTTTCGACTTGCGGCGGAGCTGTCGGTGGGGTTTGCGGCAAGTAAGGACGGGTTCGTGTTCCATCTGGATGTTGAGCGTGTTCCGCATACAGTGGCGCTGATGCGTGAGAGGGCCCTGACCAAAAGTGGGGCTTGGAGGGGAGTTGACGCCTTCAAAGACCGGCGTCCGGTTCTCGTTCGGCATCCGCTCATCGAACGTTCAGTCTTGGTTGGGGGAGCTCAGGTGAGCGACCGGGGGAGGTGTAGAGAGGAATGGCGGAAGGCGAACGAACACAGCTTTGATTCAGAGGAGGAACTCGATCGAAGACTTGATTGGCATATGCCGATGTTCGGTCTGGGTGACTCGCACCTTACCCCAGTGTATCATGGCGATTACCTTTTCATGAAGGAATAGGTGCTGGACGAGCTCTTGATATATGATTAGCCTACAGTTTACATCCCGGTAGGGCTCCGTGCAGCCTTCTTCAGCGACGTCTTCGATTACCGTCAAGTGGCTTGTGTGTATAGTAGTCTATGAAATGTAATCCATCTCGGCGAAAGTCATAGTACAAACAGTGGATCTCGTGTCGTAAGACAGCTGTTCGGTTTCCTCGTCAGAGAAAAGGACTATAGGATCTAGTGCCTTCGCGAAACCCCGAAAGCCAACAGGTCCTATTAGTTGGAATGGAGCCAAGCCTGCAACCCGAGTCCCATACACAATGTCGTAGTGGTCTTACCCAATTGCCCCATCGAATGACGAAGCATGCTTTCTGAAGCATCGTCCCTATATCGATTGCGTGACAACAGATTTCATTGTCGAAGACGAACTGTCGAAGCCGGGGTTGCGCCAGAGGCGTGGTTTGGTGTGACCTCCAGTGAAAAGAGATATCAAGTTCTGTGACTCCTCATCACCTCATATCCATATCCTCATTCTCCTGTCCATTACCACTGCTATCCCCGCCTCGGGCACCTGCATCCTTCCCTCCCAACGTCGCCGCCCCGGGCTGTGCTTGTTGCTGCTGCTCACCGGCCGCAGCCGAAGCCGAAGGGAAACTCAAATACTTCCAATCCTCGATCTCCTCGATGATACACTTGAGCCGATCCCGGATACTCTCCACCGCATACGTCCCCAAGATCAGCCTCAAGGGCGGGTACGAGCAATGCCCAAGCTGCCAGACCAGATGTGCCGCCTTGACCGCACTCGCCGGCTGCTTATCGCCCAGCCACATGAGCATCCTCTTGGCATGCGCCGCCGGCGAGGTAGAGATATTATACGGCTCGCTGGGTGGCTTGACGAGGAAATGCCCATACAACGGCAGTGGGGACGCCAGATTATGCTCATTGGTACCCATCCCACCGCTGCCACCAAACAAACCCCGATGCATATGATCCGAAACCAAGTCCCCGGTGTCATCCCGGCGCATATGGCCCGGCTCGACCAGCGTGGTCTTGATATTGAAATGATCCACCTCGTACAGCATGCTCTCCATCAGCCCCTCGACGGCGTACTTGGAGGCGCAGTAGGGCCCCAGGCCGGGAACGCCCAGCGCGCCCGAGGTCGAGCTGAAGATGAGGTAGCGGCCGGCCCGCCGCTCGCGGAAGTGCGGCAGCGAGAGCTGGATGATGTTCAGGGTGCCGGTGAAGTTGGTCTCGAACTGGTCCCGGATGTCGTACTCGTCCTGGTCCTCGCAGGCGCCGATCACCCCGTAGCCGGCGCAGTTGGCGATGATGTCGATGCGGCCGAAGCGCGCGATCGTCCGCTGGATGACCTGCTTCACCGTCTCGCGGGCGCGCACGTCGCACAGCAGGCCCAGGCAGTTCTTGTGCTCGGCCTCGAGGTCGCGCATCGCCTCCGGGCTGTTCTCGAAGGTCCGGCCCACGGCGGCGACCAGATCATCGCGGCTCAGGGCCGTCTTCACGAGGGAGCGGCCCATGTGGCCCGTCGCGCCGAAGATGAGCCATACGAGCGGTCGCGGCGGGTTCTGGGGACCGGGCGGGTCGGTGGTCGAGGGGAGTTGGAGCTTCGGCTCGCGGGGGGCTGGGGTGGTGGCGGCGGAGGGGGAGATTGGGTTGGTAGAGGACTTCGGAGGGGAGGCGTAGAGATCCATCGAGGAGGCAGGAGGAGGTCGTCGCACTCCGCGTGTTGCCAGGGACGAGCGCCGTCATTCTGTCGCATTTTCCCCGGACGCATTCCCCGCAGCTGTCCGACCGGGCACGTGACACCTCTCGCTTATCGGTCACTGATAAAGGAAGTCCCTTGTGGTCTGGTTCAGCTGACTACGAGTACTGCTTAAAGTTATATGCTACAACATAGCAGGATATTTGACAAACTTTGAGGAGCATTGTTTACATCCCACTACACTATTAACGATGCAACAGAGTGATACGAAACTAGGTGTTATACTATTCTATGGAAAGCGGGATGACAAATAGGACAAATAGAAACATTAGTCTCATCAAAGGCAGTCAGGTGTGGAGGCCAGACTGCATTCGAGTATTTTATTGAATAAGGTCCTAATCCACTAAGGAGGAATAGTGCTTCGCAGGACCTATGAGTCAAGATCACTACCATAATTACCTTTCCGGCACGCCCTTATTCAGCCTGCTGTAGCCCTCCTTGATGCCTAATATCAAGCACATTTGTAGAATATAGACTCCAGTAAGTTTTACGTAGATTCTGTGACTGAGAGTCAAGTTGACACTACGTCACGGCCCGCGGCCCGCACGGCCTTTGGGCCGCCACGGGCCACGGCCGCCAGCGCATGCATGACTAACTAGCTTGGCCAGTATCTCGTGTATAAAAACGAGTGCTTCTCTGTCTTCTCGGGCATTTTTCTTTCTACACTGACATCGTCTTCTGGAAAGGCTGTGGTCTCTCGTTCGGGTACCGAGGTTAGTACCTGTGTATAAGGAAGTGGATACTGAGACTAGCACGACTCTACGAGGTTCGGAACGGGCATCAATACTGTACATACACCAACAGTATATCGCGCAATATGACTTTAGATTCTCGCCCAACTTCGATTCCATGTCGGGAGACGGGGCAGCGGCAGAGGGCTCGCAACCGAAAGCGATCGCGAGCCCTGAGTAAGGAATCTTGGGAGAAGGGGAGATGGAAGATGAACGCGAAGGTGAACGCGAAGGTGAACGCAAAGGTGAACGCAAAGGTGAACGCAAAGGTGAACGCAAAGATGAATGCAAAGGTGAACGCGGTGGGCAAGCGAGAGGGGGAGAAAGAAGCAGAGAAAAAGGCGGAGAAAGAGGAGATGAGAGAGGAGATGAGTACCGAAACAGTCAATGTGGAAGAAGACGAGGGTCGGCCTAGATGGGCTGATAGTCAGGACAGTTTTGTGCACGATGATTCTTGGTGCGGCTACAGTGAAAACCAAGCGGATCCCTCCAGGTATTCCCCGGGAGTTGATAACGGACTGTATGAGGGTTGATATGGGATTTGAAGGTATCGAGTCAATGGGCTTGATACTCCGTTGTCAGTGATGCTCACTTTGCACTGAGTGGTGAGCGAGGGGTTCTTTGAACGCGTTCAATTGTTGTTCGACGCGTCTGGGGAAGTGTCTCTCATTGGTTGGTCGCGAAGCGCACTTTGTCTGCTGCGGTGTCACAGATCATGGATTCAACATCATGGGTGCTTGCTGACCTTGCTGCTGCTGGTTTACGTTGATTTGGAGTTGTAACGTTTCAGTTTTGATATTTTGTTTCTTTGTGCTTTGACTTCTACGGGATTCTCTCGTTTTTTTTGTTTTCATGCTTCTGATTTATATACAAATGAGCAGAATGTCAAGACTAGCTTCGTGTTTGGCCACGAGCTGCATATCCCAGGCTATTACTCCGAGAGGCACTTATATCATATACAGTGTAGAGGACTTCAGCGCTAACGAGTGGTTCAGCCAGTACAAGCTGAAGACAGAGCGCCCAACTCTTACCGAGGACAGTACATAAGAGCATCAATCACTATCGCCGCGATCTCGGCTAGACCCGCTCGGAGACGGCCGACGTGGGGACCACCACCGCGCGGCCGCACGAGTATATCAGCATCTGATCTGGATCGGAACCCCGTCTTCTATTTATCTGTATGAGAACTCAATCCCCTCTACACCCACCTTATCCCAACCGTTTCCATCCACACACACCCACCATGTCCAGCTCCCTCCCCCCACTCGCAACCCTGACGTCAGAGCCCCAAGACCGTCAATTCCAAGTGCTGGACACCCTCTTCGAGCCGTCGCCCGAACTGCACACCCTCATGGCGCCCGTCCTCGCCCACCAGACCTTCGACAGCTACGCGAGGCTGATCGACGCCGTCGGCGGCCGCATGTCGGCCCTGTCCGCGGCCGACTCCTCCAAGGACCGCGAGATCCTGTACGGGATCCTGGGCTCGCATCCCCGGCTGGGACGGCCCAAGGCCGGCCCGACGGAGCATCTGAGCGAGCTCAGCAGGAAGGAGCAAGCGCAGCTGAACACGGGGGCGGAGGAGCAGGCGGAGCGACTGCGGGTCTTGAATGCCGAGTACGAGGAGAAGTTCCCGGGGTTGCGGTTTGTGTACGTTTATTTTTTTTTTCTGATGGGGTTAGGTTTCTTGGGGCTGAGGGGGGCTAACTGATCGATTTAGGACCTTTGTCAATGGGAGGGATAGGGATGTGATTATGGAGGAGATGCGGAAGAGGATTGATAGGGGGGATGCGGAGGTGGAGGTTGAGGAGACTATTCAGGTATGTTGGCGGGGATAATCTTGTGGTGGAGGGATGCTAATTGCATGCTTTAGGCTATGTGTGATATTGCGAAAGATCGCGCGCGGAAGTTGGAGTAGGGTTGACTTGTATGTTGAATATTGTTGAAAGTTTTTGAAATGCAACTCAGTATCAGGTCACCGATCATTTCTCAATTCGAGAAACGCCTATTACTTTTGCACTAGGATAATGCGACGACGTGACCAAGAATGTATTGGGTCGTTCAACGACTAACAACAGCAATGGGGATGAAAAGTTCTCTTTATATCTATATACACGCTGGTTCCCATGTCCCACCAAAAATGTGGACAATCTAGTCCGTCATTCTTAACTGTGGCATCTTATTTTCCGAACGCCTCCTTCTGCTCCGGCACCAAGGTGATCATCTCACCCTTCTCAACCGCCGACCGCAGGTTGTTCAACACCAAAAGCTCCATCTCCCGCTGCGTCTCGTACGTCATGGTACCAATGTGCGGCAGCAGCATCACCTTAGGGTTGCTGACCAAGCCCGGCTCAACCTCAGGCTCGTTCTCGTAGACATCCAGACCGGCAGACAGAACCTGTGATCATCAACATGCAATCCAACCTTCATTCTCGAGGGAGTATCTTACCTTGCCGGATTCGAGCGCAGCAACCAAGGCCTTCTCGTCAATCAACGCTCCACGGGCCGTGTTCACGATCACAATCCCGTCCTTCATCTTCTGGAACTCCTTCTCACCGATAATGTGACGGGTCGACGCATTGAGCGCCAGGTTCAGACTCAAAACATCGGAGGTGGCCAGCAACTCATCGAAGGAGACATACGTCGCGTCTCCCTCGAGCTCCGGAGACAGCCGTGACCGGTTGTGGTATTGGATCTTCATGCCAAAGGCTCTTGCACGGTGGGCCATTTCCTATCCGCCCAGGTCAGCAATCTTCACTCGTCTCGTCTTCCCGGTAATAACAGCAACTCACGCGACCGATGCCTCCCATGCCCAGAATCCCCAGAACCTTACCCTGGGGATCACGGCCAAGTCCTGTTTGTCCTAGGAATTTACCTACTCGAATTAATATCTGCATCAACCTTCACACCCCTCGAGTGCGGAATGACCTACCCTCGCGCAGCGAAGAAATCGGAATATAAGCCTGGCGCAGCGCGCCGATCATCAAGAAGATCCCCACATCCGCTGTGGCGTTGTTGACCGCGACGGGGGTGCTCGAGACGGCGATTCCTAAGCCCCGGTCTTCAGCAATTGATGCCTACCAGCAAGCATGGGAAAATACCTTTCTCTGTGCATCCCTTGACATCGATGTTATCGTAGCCTGCCCCGTTGTGGCAGATGTATTTGAGGGACTTGGGAAGGACGGAGAGCAACTCTGCGTTGAAGGGGCCGGTGAACTACCCAAGCATCAAACGTTGGTATGTTTCATGGAAAGATTGGGGGGGGGGAGGGGGGGAGATCGTACCTTTGTGGAGGTATTCGAGCGGTAGATCGCGACCACGTCGTCGTATTGGCCCTCCTTGCAATTGCGGATGAAGTCGTCGCGGGTGCCCTCGGGGAATTCCTAGATCGAACGCATTAAATCCGTGGTCGCCTTGGTGGTTGCATGCGCTCGTTCTCCTCACCTTGAGGGTAAGAATGGAGGACAAATCTTCCCATTCCTTGCGGGAATGGGTGATTGCACCGATCAACAATGCGGCGGGCATGATGTCAGAGTTGGAGGTGTGAAAGAGGGGTGTGCGCGGGGTAATTCAATCTTGGTGGGAGAAATTGCGAGATGCGATTGAGGATGAAGAGAAGAGAAGAAGGAAGGAAGGAGAGGAGGAGAAATGCAAGATTAGAAAGTTAACTTAACTACTGAACTCAAGAGCCGCATGTGATTATTCATTATCTGTCTCTCAATGACCCCATCGCAGCTTTGCCTATTTCCTTCCTATTCAATCAAGTTCCAGCGACTGGCTGTTTTGGTTGTGTCTTGCTCCAGCGATCGCGTGGGGGTTGTGTTGCGTATTACCTGCGGGTTACATTACTGGGACAGAACTGTATTATACTGGGGACAAAGGCAGTCCTTTGTCCGACAAGATACTTCAAATGGTTTTCCCAGTTGAAACTCTGAGTAAATATAGCTGTAGCTAGAGTTTAATGTGCCTGTCTAGCTCTCTTTCATCTGTTCCACCTGTTCATGCTAGACTGCTGTGTATTTTGCCAGTGTGTCAAGAAGATACTGATACTGTACTATACATCCTCTATGCGCGGATAATACGTCGGCTATTGAAGAGACGGGATCAAAACCCGACGCGGAGAAAAGTCCGGGCTGACCCCACGCCGGGTACCGCTTCAGTTCCCAATCCCCTCATCTCTCCACCTGAGTCAAATTAAAGCATGAGTGCTCCTCCCCTCCTCCCATTCCAGTCTAGAGACACTCTCACGTTCCTCACACAAGTCTCTGACTGAGCTCACCATGGCTACCCCTACAACCACCACAGCGCTCGTCCTCCACGGCGCCAAAGACCTTCGTCTAGTAAGTGCTACCAACTACATCCAACCCCGCATTTCCCATCACAACAACACCCACCACCCAGTTGAACCGCAGCTGACCACCACCGCAGGAATCCCGACCCCTGTCTCCGCCCCAAGGCAACGAAGTCCAGGTCGCCGTGCGCGCCACCGGCCTCTGCGGCTCCGACCTCCACTACTACACCCACGGGCGCAATGGCGACTTCGTCGTGCGGGCGCCCATGTGCCTGGGCCACGAGTCCTCGGGCGTGGTGACGGCGATCGGGCCCGAGGTGACCAGCCACCAGGTGGGCGACCGCGTCGCGATGGAGGTCGGCCTGCCGTGCCGCCAATGCGCGCTCTGCCGCCAGGGCCGCTACAACATCTGCCTCAACATGCAGTTCCGCAGCAGCGCCAAGGTCTTCCCGCACCTAGACGGCACGCTGATGGAGCTGACCAACCACCCGGCGGACATGTGCCACAAGCTGCCGGAGAGCGTCTCGTACGCCGGGGGCGCGCTGGTCGAGCCCCTGGCCGTGTGCCTGCACGCGATCCGGCGGTCGCGGCCCCCGACGCGGGACGAGGTCGCGCTCGCGCAGTCGGTCGGCGAGGAAACCCCGGCGCTGATCTTCGGCGCGGGGGCCATCGGCCTCCTGCTGGCCGCCGCGCTGGCCGTCTCCGAGAACTTCTCCTCCATCCTGGTCGCCGATATTGATGCCTCGCGCCTGGCCATCGCCGAGTCGCTGGGCCTGGGGCTGAAGACCGCCCTGATCCCCAAGGCCGATCCCGCCAGCTCGCCGCCGCCGCCCCCCAAGGACGCGCCGCACGCCGAGCAGACGACGTATGCCCTGCAGAACGCGCAGCGGGTGGCCGCGGCGCTGAAGGAGGCGGGCGGTGCGACGTCGGGCTTCGCCCGCGTGTATGACTGCACGGGCGTGCCGGCCTGCGTGCAGGCCGGCATCTATGCTGCGGCTTCCGGTGCGGTGCTGGTGCAGATCGGGATGGGGAACCCCATCCAGACCCTGCCGGTGGGCGCGGCCGCCCTGCGCGAGGTCGATATCATCGGGGTCTTCCGGTATGACGGCTATGCGTACCCCGCTGCTATCGCGCTGATGGCTAGCGGGAAGTTTGACACCGTGGAGCAGCAGGTTGTGACGCACCGGGTCAAGCTTGCGGATGGGGATCGAGCCTTCTCGCTGGCGGGTAAGGGTGTCGATGAAGAGGGTAAGCCTGTCGTTAAGGTCGTTATCGAGAGCTGAGCGGGCATGTTTCTTTCCTGTTTGATTTGTTGTATGTTCTCTTATGATTATACCCGGGAGATGGTGGGGCATGAAAAATTTATGATGCGGCGAGCGATTATGGTGTTACGATGCATGGTGGTGTAGATGTTTGCATGGAGATAGAGATTATCATAGCTGTCAATCAGTTTGAGCCTACCCAGGTGAAGATAGAATGAACCAGAGTGATTTGATATTTTCGATCGACTCAAGATGTCGTGGATTTGTATTACTGCCCAGATGCTTAGATCGCTAAGGCTGAATACCATCAAAGCACAACGAAGTGGAGAAGAAAAGGCAAGTGACACAGCCGTGACCGTGTTGAGGCCTTGTTTTGCTGCCTGAGGCGGGGATGACAGGCAGCAGATCGTCAAGTCCTTGACTATACGCGGCTGGGTTTCCATAGGGAGATCTGGGTTCAAATCCTATTCCCGGCAGTCTTTTCCCTCCCTTTTTGAGGGATTTATGTCATTGATGTGCCATGGAAAGGTGGGATGCAAAATGCGTTGGCGTGACGAATGGACTGCCTCAAATCACAAGCCGACATAGGCTGTGCACAGTCGTGTGACGTTGCGAGGCTAGTAATCGCCATCGAGGATCTCCCCAGAACGACACACTTCGAGTAAGTTGTCTCGTGCTCTCTTCACCACTTGCCAGTGGTAACAGTAGTACCAGATTTCCGTCTTCCACCATCTGAGTTGCCAAGCCCTTACGTTCTACCTGTCGCAGCAGTTGAGTGGTCATCATATGCCCTGGTCACCAGTCCGCAGCGCTGGTCACCCAAGAGCACTCGCGAAGGCCCCTGAGAATGCTCTCGCATCTAGCCCTGGGCATATCCCCTCTACTACACTCGTACCGCCCTCGTCGATACAGCACTGCCAGAGATCTGCGTCGACCGACCGAGGATCCCGCTATCAGTTCAACCTCAATGTAAGCCCGATCAGTGTAGCATACGCCCCGATACTCAAGGCCGTGAGGATAAGTACCGCATTCCCGCTGGTTCGAAACTTGTGCCGGTTGATCCCATCCTCCCCGAGCTCCGAAAAGAACTGCTTGTTGCCCTGCTGGCGGCGGTAGAGGCCGATCATGAGCACGCCGGTGCCGTAGATGGCGAACAACGCGCCCGTGCTGTAAAACTCGCTGGTGAAGATCTTCAGGACGACGAGGGCGAAGGAGAACTGCGAGAGGGCGGTGCGGACGTAGGCGCCTTCGAAGGTGCGCTGGGCGGCGCGGACTTCCACGATCTCGTCGGAGGTGAGTGCTACCGTGCGGGCACGGTGCATTCGCAGGCGGTAGCGATCTGCGGCGCGACGCTGTGAGTAGTCCTTGGAATCAGCATGCGACCAGCAACTTGTCATCGAGGACGAGGATTGAGAGGCCCGGGTTAGTTCTTTGACGCACCTCAAACATTGCGACGCGTCATACAGGTGGTGTCTGATGTGGTTCGTCGATGGAGCAGGGTGAGGCACGGATAAGAGTGATTTGTGCCAGCAACAGCTTCCCGACGTCAGAGTCGTCTCTTGTTGTTGGCAGACCGACTTTTTCAGGGGGATTTTGAACGCATTCTCTTTTCAACTGGAAAGAGTGTCAGCTGGTTGACCGCCGAGTTTCTTTTTCTCTTGTTGCCGCTCACGTGGACCTGCTGCAGCTGGAAGTGGCTTAGTTGGGAAGACGCGATATTGCATCAGACCATCTTCAACGACACGCTGCGAAATTAAGCAGTGTTGACAGTGTTGAAGATGTTTGGCGAGTCTCGGGATGCCACACAGTTTTTGCAGAACATAGCTCAAGCTGATATAGAGATATTTGACTAGTTACATCGGTAAGTAGCCCTGTTGGAGTTGTGTAAGTCAGAAGAAGGACTGCACTGCAGTAACAAAGTGAACCTTGAACGGAGCGGGAAGCGATGATGTCAGCCTACTGGGTTTCTCCACCAATAACGATTCTCCCGTCTCTAATCCTCAACGCCAGAACCCGTCGGCTATCGAGATTACCCAACTCGGTCGGAGAGCCACCGCCTCCCCCATCTTTTGAAACCTTAGAACGCTTATCAGCCCGCTGCTATCGGTCTTCAATGAGCCGATCAACCCGTACTTCTTCCTGCTCGGTTACTAAAATGGGGGTCTGGACATTGCATTCATCCATTCATCCATTGCTTGGCCTGCAACTGCATGTCGGTCCGACTCTCACTCCTTGGCTACGCTGCCTTTTCTCCTCACTTCTCCTCCTTTTCTGCTTCTCCCTCTCTTTCCTTCTCCGCATTCTGCTCATTTCATTGTCTCTTATTCTCAATCCGATAGCTGAGCTCTGCGATCCGTCACGATGAGCAAGGTATTCGATGCGGCGGAAGGTATGTTGGATAGCGACTAGCAACTCACCACGATACACTCAATCGTGCTTCACATGAGCAACAGTTCAATGAGGGCTAACGTCCCTTTAGTCGCAAAACACAACACCGCAGAGAGCTGCTGGGTGATCCTCTACGGAAAGGTTTACGATGTATGAGCAGCCCCAATTGTCCTAGTCAAGGCTCATGATTCAAAAAATTGACTTTATTTGCGAAAGGTCACCAACTTTCTATCTGATCACCCTGGCGGTGCCAAGATCATCCTCAAGCTCGCAGGCAAAGACGCCACCGAAGAATACGACCCAATCCATCCTCCAGGGCTTCTGGAGGAGAACCTCAAGCCCGAAAACTTCCTGGGGACTATCAACGCAGACACCCTACCCAAAGTACAAGCAGAGCCGGCACCAGCAGCCGCAGAGACAGAAGGGCCGCCACCAATGGAGTCCCTTCTGAACATGGACGATTTCGAACAAGTCGCCACCAAAAACATCAGCAAAAAGGCCTGGGCCTATTACTATTCCGCCTCAGATGACAAAGTCACCAAACACTTTAACACAGAAGTCTACCGGTCAATCCTTCTGCGCCCCCGCGTATTTGTGGACTGCACGAAGTGTGACCTGGATACGAAGCTACTGGGCCACAACCTGGGGATGCCGATCTATGTCTCCCCCGCCGCCATGGCGCGCTTGGGCCATCCCGCTGGCGAGGCAGGTATTGCGGAAGCGTGCCGCAGCTTTGGTGCGATGCAGATCGTCTCCAACAATGCATCGATGACCCCAGAGCAGATTGTGCAAGACGCCGCTCCGGACCAGGTGTTCGGATGGCAGCTATATGTGCAGGTGGATCGCAAAAAGAGCGAGGCGATGCTGGCGCGCATCAAGAAGCTCAAGGCCTTCAAATTCATCGTTCTCACCCTGGATGCTCCGGTGCCCGGGAAGCGTGAAGACGACGAACGCGGGAATGCTGTCGGGGCGTCGGCACCGGTTGCCAGCGCCGCGATGGCCGCCGACAAGAAGTCCTCGGGTGACTCGGCCCAATTAGGCGGCGTGGGCCGACAGCTCTTCGCTGGTACCGATCCTTCGTTGACGTGGAAGGAGACTCTGCCGTGGTTGGCCACGCAGACCGATTTGCCCATCATTCTCAAGGGTCTACAGACGCACGAGGACGCTTACATTGCCTCCCTTCACACCCCACAAGTGAAGGGTATCATTCTGTCGAACCACGGCGGTCGCGCGCTGGATACTGCACCTCCGGCGGTGCACACATTATTGGAGATCCGCAAATACTGCCCTGAAGTGTTTGATAGGCTGGAAGTCTGGGTTGACGGCGGTATCCGCCGTGGCACAGATGTTGTCAAGGCTCTGTGTTTGGGTGCAAGAGGAGTTGGAGTTGGCCGGCCGGCACTCTGGGGTCTGGGTGCCGGTGGTGTTGAGGGTGTGAAGCGTACTTTGCAAAGTAAGACTCTCATTGATGCTTGGCTACATTGGTACTAATCATCGATTCTAGTTCTATCCGACGAGACCAAGACTTGCATGCGCTTGCTCGGTGTCGAAAGGGTCGAGGACCTGGGCCCTCAGCATGTAAGTCCTTCTGCTTTCCCTTTCGCCGCAACTTTCTAACTCATAATTCAAAAACAGATCAACACCCGCATTGTTGAGCAACAAATCTATGATGGTCCCTCAGGGCTCGACAGTGTACGAAATGTGTTCCGTGCCAAGTTGTAGACATATCATATAATCCAGCATAAACTTTCAACTTCGAATTTGTATAAGCAACTTCGTAATTGCCCACCATGACCCATTTGAGCCATTGATCAGTGTGCAGAGCCGTCCAGAGTCTAGAAATCAGATAGGCTAATGATAATCGCCGATCTGTGTGCTTTTGTTCTGTCTATCCTGAAACATTCCAGTTACAAAGCATATTGTGATATCCCCTGTTATGTTGTTCCAGTTTGGCCTATGTGATCAATTGTACTAAACACTGGCATTGTTATATGCACAATGACATACACAGAGGCTTTGTCTATGCGCAAATTTTGTGGTTGTGCTGGCTGGATTAGCAGAGCCGGCGTGACTCCGCTTCCTTTGTCCACGCGAGGGCAAAGAGACCTTCCTTCCTTTTGCACCAACCTCCGACTCCTCCCCATCGGACAACAACTCTCCGTCTTCCAAGTGGGATCTCACGTTCTTGCATTGTTTTAGAGGTCAAATTATCATCAACTCGGCAATCTCTCAACCTCCCGGTTAACTGCCCCTGCAGACACCGCCTGTCTTGCTGCAGAGTCCGAGTCTTACTTCATTATCTGTAGTACTGAGGATGCTGTTCCCCAACACCTCTCGACTCTGAAAGTTATATCATCGTCTAAACTCTCAAGCAACTCAGCAACAGACTACGCTCCACTCCTTTCAAAAGTCTACAGGTGCAAGGAACAATAACAATGTCTTCGAAGAGCCAACTCTGGCCGGTGTCGTTGCAGACGCTCGTTTGCCATTGTCGTACAAGTAGGCTTTGTTTTTCTTTGTTTGAACTCACAATGTGAGTCACCGTTCAGCCCAAGATTCTTTGTCTCTTTTCCTTCCGCCTTCCACAAGGCCATTATCCTGATCACCTTTTCATAGCGGGAAGTCTCAACTCATTTAAGGTGATCAGTCCCCAGATAGCAGACATATTCCTCATAATTTCTGCATTGACAGAGAAACCCCGGCAGTTACTACCACCCTGACAAAGACGATATCAAGCACTACTGCCAAACTCCCATAAACGACAACACCCATGTCGGAAGCGAAGAAAAGATCCTCGAGCCAAGCAGGGCTCAGCGATGAGGACTACGAGGACAGCGACTTCACTGTCCACAATGACAGCGACAGTCACTCAGACCCGGACAGCGAGGACCAAAATGATGAAGTGGAGACTCGGCTGGTCACCGCCCTGCGCGTGGTCAGCGGCAACCGCCAGAAGACGGCCTCCTTGACGCCGCCGTCGGAAGTCGATGATGCAGGCATCACCGACGGACGACCGGGCCGGGAGGCGGACCGTGACTCCGCGGGTGAGGCGGATGATGAGAGAGAGTCCTCGCCATCATCAGAAAATGGCGACGAGAGCGACGATGACAAGGAGAGTCGGCGCCCGGTGGAGCCGGATGACGAGTACGAGGAGCACCAAGATGGTGAAGATGAAGGCGAGCATCCCATGAACAGAAACGCAGCCTATGCGGTGGAAGGTAGCGGAAAAGATTACGTCCCAAAAAGAAAGATCAAAAGACGCAAGAAGTATGAAGCAGAGGCCGATCATTCTGAGGCGATCCGCCAGAAGTACATCGAGATGCGGAAAACCCGCACCCCGATCGCTTGTGACCGTTGCAAGGTGGGTTCACTCCGTTGGTGTTATTTATTTCACTCTACTATAAGATAGAGTGATTGAGTAGGCTTGGCTGACCGTTGTTTTTTCTTTTCGTGGGAGCAGAACTTGAGGAAAGAGTGCACAATCGATGAGGAAGGCTGCATCCAATGTCAGACCATCAAGATGCCGTGTATGCACACTGACCCAATCACCTTGATAACGGAACGACGGGGGGCATCCAAGAAAAAGGATAGAACGATCCACGACCTGAAGGCTTGTATCCTGAAGCTGCAAAGACAGGTCGCGGTTCAGCTGCACCCATATGGCCCCGTAAGTGTCTTATTCCTCACTCGATCAAGGAACCAAAGTCTAACATCAACATGTTTCCGCCGCTAAAGCCCGTGGGTCAATATCACTTTCCACAGCATAGGCCGAACGCTTCTCCCAACCCGCGTTCTCTCAGTCCACAGGGCAATTCGGCACGATGGGGTCATGCCAGTAGCGGCAGCAGCGCAGAGAAGGGCTTGGCGTATGCCAACAGCAACGGTTTTGCTTCCTCGAACAATCACAATAACATAGCCCCGTCGAGGAAACCGGGAAAGCGAAACGGGGATCACCCCCCAGTCACCAAGCCTCGTCCACATGACAGTGGTAGCTCGGGCAGCTCTGGGGGTAAATCCGGGTACCTGGCCGAGCTGGACAAGAACATGGGTCCCGGTGGACGGGCCAAAATCAACAGCAACATGGAGAAATTTCTCGAGCACGACCCGGATTATCAGAAGAAGGCTTACTTCCATTCGAGTTCTCCTCGACCGCGCCAGATGTCTGGTCCCGGCTACGGTTCTCTCTACCAGGATTACCACGAGTTCACCAACAACGCACACTATCCTCCGCCACCCCCCCGGCCGATGAGCACCAGTGCACACCGCATGTATGACCCTCCCTATATGGGTGACCCACGATATGGCCACCCTCAGCCAGGCTATGTCAATCATGCCCCCCGATATCCTACGCCGCCGCCGCCGCACTTCCGCCCGTACCCTGAACGCGCCAACCCAGAGTATGAGCACATGGACCCTCGTCATCACTACGATGGTGGCCTGCGTTCGACTCCGGAGGCGGACAAGGATCCCTATTACGGCTTACCCGACGCCGGGCCGAGCGATTTCGGTGACGATGAATTGATACAGGCGTATAGGACTTTCTATCCGGAGGGTGAGTCGACTTCTGCGGGAGCGGCCGAGCAAGCCCGGGCAAGCCGAACTCGGCCCAAATTTATACCTCGGGGGATGCCGCCGGGGAATCCGCCTCCCAGGCCAAGAAAGAAGTAAACAGAAGTTGGTTAATGCTTATGATGTTATCTAGATGTTTAGCTCTCGGATCTGGTACGCTGCGCTAGGGTTTCATCGTGTTTTTGGATTTATATACACTGAGCAGATACAATATCTTATTGATGCGTTAATGATTACTGCGTTTAATGTACCTGTACTTTTCCACCTCCAAGCTGCTAGACTACAGTTGCATCGGGGACGAATCCCAGGCACCAGAAACTGCTGTAAAGTCGGGAATATATGGTGTTGTATATTTAACATACGAAGGTATATGCAATCCAGCGAATTCACCCATCAGTGGCCTCACAATCACCAGAATCACGCCGAGCCAAAGACAGACTTGCTCAGCTCATCCATGACCTTCAACCACGTGTTCACCCAAGTAGTGAACTTGTCCCCCTTCTCCTCACCCGTCGTTCCCTGCTGCCAAGGCAACTTGACCAGCTCCAAAGCCGCGACAGCCCTATCCTTAGTCTGCCCCAGAAACCGGCCCGACTTGTCCGGGTTCGCCTCGTACAAAGCCCCGGCAACCTCATCCACGAGCTCCGGAATCAAGCGGAGATTCTCCGTCAACGCCTCCAACTTGCCCACCTCCGCCACCGCATCCGCCGTCTTCTTGAGCCGGTGCGTCACGATCGCCGGATACACCTGCGCGATGGGTTTCAACACGCGCAGCGTCGACTTCTTCTGCGCATGCAATGCCTTCGACTCTTCCTCGTCCTCATCCTCCCCCTTTTGATCTTCAGCATCATCAGCATCATCATCACCGTCATCATCACTCAACAACTCGTCGAAAAACTCATCCCCCTCCTCGTCGGGATCCCACTCCTCGATCTCCCCGACAGCATCCCGCACCAGATCCCGCCACTGCTCCACCCGCCGCACCACGAAGCCCACCACCCCCTTGGCCGCCAGGTCCACCAGCGCGTCGCACGACTCCCACGCCCGCGCCGCCGCCAGCGTCACGGCGTCTTTGGCGGGTTGCGCCAGCTCTTCCCCCTTCTTTTTTGAGGTATCGCTCCTGCTCGCGATCCTCTGTACCTCATTGAGTAGCACGGATAGCTCCGTCAGCGCGAGTCGGGTGAGCGCGTGCGCCTCGGTCTGGAAGGCTTGCGTGTGGTCCGTGGCGGTGATGAGGAGGGCGGCGGTCACGAGCGAAGGGAGGACGGATTCGTTGAGCGCGGTTAGGATTGGGATGGCGGCCGTCGGGGTGAAGGGGGCCGTGATGGAGACGAGCGAGAGTTTGGTGATTTGCGATTTGAGGGACAGGGCGGAGGCGGAGAGGAGGGGGAGGGCGTCTTTGGTGGTTATTGTTTCGGTTGTTGTGGTGGTTGGGGAGGTGGAGGATGCTTTGGAGGTCGTGAGGGCGGTTTGGAATTGGTCGAGGAGGGTTAGGGTGGTTGTTAGGGTGAGGTGGAGCTTTTGCGCCATTGTTGTTGGTGTTGTGCTGTTGCTGTGCTTGATACTGTGGGTTTTGGGCGGTTGGTTGGTGGGTAGGGAGGGCGGTGGATGGGGCGTTTTAGTAGGAAATGGAGTTTGGTGTAGAATTCTCCGCGTCCTCGGCTCGGTGGGATATTGTAGAGAGTGAGAGGGGACCACGAGGAAGTTGTAGCGATGGTTCAGGTTCCAAAGCTGTCTGGGCTAGTCGTATATGAGGCTGAAGGCGTGGAGGGGAAAGTTTTGCGGTGGTGGGGTGAAAGTCCGCGGAGGATCACGTGAGGGGCTTTCCCGCCCATTGACACCTGAGGCAGGATACTCGGAAGTATTGTCGGCTGGAAGCGAGCGAGCGGCCCCGGTGGTTGTTAATACTACAGGTATATTATGTATAAATTTGCCGTTTCTGCTGGACCTGCGTCTCCTGGCACTGGAATTTGACTGCATGAAACGTGTAGCAGAACAACCTAGCAGTCGCAATTATTCAAATCTTTCGTTGTTTGCTGCATCGAATCAATTGAGCCAATTCTCAACTTCTACTACGGAGATATCCACCCTGTGGCAGCGCGTGGACCAAGCTCAGCCTGCCTGAAAAGCAAGATACCACCTCCGCACCACCGTGCCAATCTCATACTCGAATCCTGGTATTCAATACGTTATCTCCCAACTGTGTCTATTCAATAGTTTCATCTAGTCTCTCGATCTTTCCATTCTGCAACACCCAGCCCACGTCCCGGATGAGATAGGTCCTGGGCAACTCGCGCCCTGTGGTGCTCTCCCAAGTAGTAGCACCAGTTGTTCCCCGTATGATTCGACTGCGCCTCGAGGGCCTTTTCCACCTGAGAGGTCAGCCCCCCATACTGCAGGTATTCCCCACCGTGCTGCTGGTAGGCATATTTCTACGACGATTTCACAAATCTGATCAGTTTCAGGATGGACTCGCGCCCGTTGCCAGTCACCCGATAGGTATTGCCTCCTTTGGCCTCCACCTCGAGCGTCTCGGCGGCGTGTTGCTGGTCGTAGTTCCACGCCTGGTCCCGGGCCTTCTTCACGCCGGAGTCGTAGTAGCACTCTTGATCAAGGCAGACACTGTAAAGTATCTGAGGCGGTGCCCACAGCCCCATGTACTGGTAGGCAGCAGTACGAGAGGAAGGGTCCTTATATATCTCGAAGTGTTGGATATATCTAGCATATTTGCGACAGTGTGGCTGGTGGCGATCGCTAGGCTGTTGAGCATGATAGGATCACCGCCTCTTAAGGCCGAGGGAGGGAACAGAACCTAGGAACAAAAATAATGTGTTATTGAGCTCTCGGTTGGAGCATGATCCTCGTAGAGCTGGTACGCTTACTACTATATGGAATATCTTTCAACATCATTACATGATAGTGGAGTATTGAATCGATGAGTACACTCATAGACCGATCGACCTTGAAGCGCTTCAATAAACTGAAATCTCGGCAAACCGTTTTCAGTCTGAGGAAGAGGGTGTTGATAAGAGAAAAAGTTAACGCTGCGACAAGGAACGAGTTAGTGTGAATGAGCTTCAGTTCAGAAATGGTTAATGTGAGGGTGGATAAGGAATCGTAAGATGCAAGTACGTATGTCATCATGCCAGCAGGCAAATATGGCATAGTCAAATCAAGCAATGGCTAAGTTGAAATAAGGAAGGATTATGCCAATTACCGGCTTGGCCCCGACTTAGCGTGAGATAAGGGCATTAGTCGAGAGTGTTTCTCCCCCCCACTCCAGCCTGTCAACCACCAACCTTTTCGCCCCCTCTCACATTTCATGCCACTCCAGCCCAAGAAACCCTGAGAGCTAGAATGTCCCCTCCCGAGACAAACGAACCAGCAATACCCCATCAGTCTCAAGAGACTGAGGTAGGGGTTACGAACGAGCTGGTCAAGCTCCCCAAACTGCTTTTGGTCGCGATCGTCCTGTGCTTGGCCACTGTGTGCGTCGCAGTAGACAACACCATACTGTCCACTGCGGTCCCTCAAATCACCGACGCTTTCGACAGTATTGACGATGTGGGCTGGTATGCAGCGTACGTTCTGCCAACTCTTGCATCACTAACCCAGCGGGATCGACTCGAATAACGAGGAAGATTGTAATAGAATATACCCCTTAACCTCGTGTGCATTCCAGCCGTTCTTCGGCAAGGTCTATTCGCTTTTTTCCAACAAAGTGGTCTTTCTGGCCGCACTACTGGTCTTCGAGGTCGGGAGTGCTATTTGTGCTACAGCACCGAGCTCCAATGTCTTTATCCTTGGACGAGCCCTGGCAGGGCTGGGGTCCGCTGGGATCTCTGCCGGCACCACCCTGATTCTGGCCGAGTGCGTCCCGCTGCCGCGGCGACCGACATGGAATAGCATCATCGGCAGTACCTTTGCCCTCGGCAGTGTCGCTGGACCTCTGCTGGTATTGCCCATGTGCCACCAGACCTTGGTAACTGTTACAGCACACTGATACCGCAAGCAGGGCGGAGCCTTCACCGAGAAAACAACCTGGCGTTGGTGTTTCTACATCAATCTGCCCATCGGGGGCGTGGTCATGCTCTTTGTGACCTTCTTCTACCGGAGCAATTCCAGTGTCACGCGAGCCTCGACTGGACTATACAGCCAGATTGTCCGATTCGACGTCGGCGGCACCACCACTTTAATTTTGGCCACAATTTGCCTCCTCCTCGCACTCTCCTGGGGCGGAACCAAGTATGCCTGGGACGACACCTATATCATTGTTCTGCTAACAGTCTCCGGGATCCTCTTCTGCGTGTTCGCCGGCATTGAGCGATGGATGCAAGATAGCGCTGTTATCCCTTTACGATTGCTACACAGGCGAAGCATGGGTGCTGCGATCCTGTTTAGTCTCTGTCTTGGTGGCGTGTTCTTTGTAGGTGCTCGATACGCAACCCTAAGATCCTCCTGGCTGACTAAGATCTCACTACCGTTCCAGGTCAACGTTTATTACATACGTGAGTCACAAAACTCGCTCAAGTGCTCCACTACTATCACTAATCCAAGCCTCCAGCACTCTGGTTCCAACTGGTCGACGGAACCTCAGTCGTCGAGTCGGCCATCATGTTCATCCCGTTCATGTGCAGTGTCGTCGGCGGGTTTGTATGTGCCGGCTTCGGGACCGCCGCCACAGGATACTACACGCCGTTTGTCTACGGGGGCTCGATCCTCATGTCGGTTGGGACGGGTCTGATCGCGACGGTGCGGCCGCACCAGACCCCGCGCGCCCGCTGGATCGGGTATCAGATCCTGTGCGGCGCCGGCATCGGTCTGGGCGAAGAGCAAGGCCTCTACATGGTGCAGACCACTCTTCCCAAAGAGGATGTCGCCACGGGTCTCGGGATCGTCCTCTTCGCGCAAACGTTTGGGGGTGCCGTCTTCGTGTCCGTGGCGCAGGCGGTGTTCCTGGAACATATCACCGCAGCGCTGCGGACGCTTGCGCCCGATGTGGACCCTTACTCGGTGCTGGGGGGCGCGTCGACGGCTACGTCTCCCGCGCTGCAGAGTGTGTATGCCGTGGCGATTAAAGATGCGCTGCGTGTGGGGCTGGTTCTAGCCACCGTGTCGAGTCTGGGGGCTCTGCTGTATGACTGGCACAGTCTGAAGGGGAAAGGTGAGAATGGGAGTAGCAGTGGTCATGAGATGGTGCTTGTCGCGCAAGGGTCGGATGGAGGACAGGGGAAATAAGGACTAACAATGCAAAAGTTTAGGATAGGAAGCTTGTCTAGGGTTGGCTCGGGGGGAGGGACTATATTCGCGCATAGAGACAAAAGCTGGGCAGCTGGGCAGTAGTACTTATAATATGCTTACCAAGGTGAGAAGCTGAGATCTAACATTGAAATGCTGCTGTTCGCTACTTGTTGTGCTCTGCAGAGATCTGTAGACTATGGAGTATTGTACCACTGCTTATCTCGAATGCCCTTCAGCTACTGGGAAGTCGGTCGGAAAAGCCCGTACGTAGTAATAATCTCAACATGAGCGAAGCTGTAGGGGCTGCGAGTGTCGAAGGGTGGATATCGCAGGTCAATGAAGCGACTGAGGCTAAACTCAATAGGGTGCCCGATGTCTGTACGGACTCACCGTAATGATGCCCTAAAGCATCTAGGAAATTTCAACTTTACCGACCACATCTAACGTGAACAAAAGCTCTCTTGCATTCAACTCACTGTTGACGCCTCTATCTCATCAGGTTCTTGTTGCTTCAACCGCCTGAATACTCACAATGCCCCTCTCGACTGCCAACTTCACCACCACCGCAACCCATGTCATCCAAAGTGACCACTCGATCTCCCTCCCCGATCCGTATATGCTAGGACCCTTCGACCACCTCTACCACTTCGCAACCCCCGTCAACGCCGTGTGGATCTACCAGTCCTCGCCCTCCGTCAACTTGATCCCGGTCGAGCGACTACGCAAAGCCATCAGGCGTTTCCTAGACTACTACCCCCACCTAACCGGCCGACTGCGCATCGATCCCGCGACCGGCGTCCGGTCCATGACCCGACTCGGCACCGGGATCCATTTCTTCGAAGCCCACTGCGATGCACCGCTGCGATCCTTCGCCCGCAGCCCCTCAGCACCAGACACAGAACTCAGCGTATTCGACTTCCCCAACGCAGGGAATGCGCTGCTCGCGCCATGGGACCCGACCCTCGAAGGCGCGCAGCGCGATCCCATCCTCACCATCCAACGAACGGAGTTCGCATGCTCCTCCGTAGCCCTGGGGGTGAGGATCTCGCACGTCCTCTGCGGAGCCGGCAGCTTTCTGGGGCTATACCAGGACCTAGCGGCGATCTATCGCGCCATGGCCGACCCAGCCACAGCAGCCGGGAACAAGATTGGGTTGACGTCGCCGCCGCACCACCCGCCATTCATGGTCTCCGAAATGCTGCACATGGGAGATCACGAGCGACGACAGGCACTCGCCGACCCGCCCGCAGCCTACAGTCTGGACAACCCCGACGCGGGGGCGCAAACCCGCTCCCAGAACGAGACGGACCCCAGCACACCCTAGACACAGACCCGATCGTGGGACGAAGCTTACGCTTCTCGGCGGCAGCTGTGCTCAGTCTCAAAGCCCAGGCGGTCAACCCTGATACACCCTGCGCCCGAGTGTCCGCGTTCACCGCATTGGCAGCCCACATCTGGCAGCGGGTGCAACGGGCTCGTCTGCTCGCCGATACCAATACCGAAGGGAAAACCATGGGATCCTCCGTCTTCGGCACCAGCGTGAACTTCCTCCCGCACCTCAGCCTGCCCGACCGAACCTTTGGAAACACGGTCGTAACCCCCGTGATAGAGCTGGAGTCAACCGCGTTGACGCAGGCACCCCTCTGGCAGATCGCGGGGCTCATCAACGACCGCGTCCGACACGTCTCCCCGGCGGAGGTGCGTCAACTGGGGAGGTGGATCGCCGCGCAGCCCGACACATCGCGGATCCAGCTGAACTTTCCCGTGATGGCGGCGGCCCCGTTCATCGCGACGGGGTGGCATCGGTTTCCGCTGTACGCGGGCGCGGAGATGGATGGCGTGGCGCCTTCGCTGGCTAGTCCGGTGTTTATGGACGCGTTGTTTGATGGGATGGTGTATTTTGTTGAACCGAAGGTCAGGGATGGAGGGGTGGAGGCGGTGGCTTCGCTGCGGAGGTCGATCTGGGCGTGTTTGGAGCGGGATGAGGGGTTTGGCGGTGCGTGGGATGGGGTGTAGTTGGTGTGTTGAGGTGGAAGGGTTGGCCAGGTGTTGGAGCGAGCCGTTATCTGACTCTTGCTAAACGTCTTCTTCAATCAGGTGCAGTTAGTTTCTTTGGTTTTGAGCGATGCGGTACGGAACGTGCCGGGCCTCGTATTGGACAAATACCTTAACGGTGTTGTTGAGGTACCTGTGGACTAATTGAGATGTTACTAGCCATGGAAGAGTTCTATTAGATATAGTATGTACCTGGTAGCCTTCCACTAATCGATAAAGCTAATCTTTTGGTATCCAAATATATCCCGGGAACCGTACCTTATATCTTGTGTTATCTTCATCAAAACATGCGAAAGAGCTGCATCTACCCCAATATACCCCAATCCCAGACATCATGTTACTGAAACAGAAGTAAATACCCTAGGTAGCCACGTAAGTAAAACCTTCGAAATCTGTAAAAGCTTCTGATGTAGCTAGCAAGCTCCGAGGGAGTATTTAGATCAAACACCATATTCAAGTATACCCCTTTCTTTTGCGCCCCCCACCCCCAGCCCGCCTCGGGTCAAAATCTCCCTAGCAATCACCAGACGGTCACACTAGACACACCCCACCCCCCGCAGAAGAGGAACCCAGCGTTCCTCACACAGCATCGTCAATTGCCAAGCATCCTCCACGCATGATTGTCTCGGGATCGATCTACCGTCTCCCCCACCAAGCATCCCTCACCCCCCATCCCATATCCACCGCGACCGCCGTGGTCGTCAGCCCCGCCTCCGCCTCTCCGGCCATCCCCGGCCAGCCCCCCACCTCCAGCGTCCGACCCACCAGGTTCACGGAGGAAGTCGGCGTGCCGTACAGAGCGTGATACCCGGGCGCCCTTCGCCACCGCGGCAGTCGGGAGGCTTGGATATACCCGGCGCGGTCGCGTTCGGCAACGAGGATCGCGTCGTGCTGGCTGCTGTGGTAGGGCGGGTGGTCGAGACTATTCCAGTCCCCGTGCAGGATGTGGCAGGAGCGCAGGTGTGGGCCATCCGGGATATCGAGACGGTGGAAAAGGTTGGATATATTGCTAGAATCGATGTTGAGGGAGTCGTTATTGGCAGGCCCTTGGTCGGGGCGCGGGACAGACTGTCGAGCAGGGAAATTCAGCTCCAGATGGTGGAGGTGCGGGAGACGGCGGAGCGGGATGAGGAGGCCGTCAATGTCACTGTCACACTGCGAGGAGGGGAGAAACAAGCCCAGAGACCGGAGGTTGGGAAATTCCTCGGGGAGTCGATGCAGCTGGGCTGGCGGGAGAGTCGCTGCATCGCGGGACGACGATGATGTCCTCAGGCGCAGATGCTGCAGGCCCGCCCCGTGCGCCTCGGCCACCACCGCAACCGCGTCCGCAGGCAGGTCCACTCCGATAAAGGTGCGCAGCGAGCGGGGCAGTGTCCGGAGGAAGGCCTCCAGCAGCCCGGCGCGGTGTCGCGCCGCCTCCGGATTGATTCTTCTTCCCCTGTTCGTGAACCGCGGCATGTCCAGCTCGAGCCAGACCAGCTCGCGCAGCTGAGCTCCCCCGCTGAGAGCAGGCAGGAGGTGAATCCAGTCCACCGCAACGAACGAGAGGGACCGCACGCCCTCGCAGCGCAACTGCGTCGCCCAGAGACGACTCTGCGCGGCGCCGAACCGCATCCCCCGGAACGCGAGATGCGCCAGCGTCTCCGGCAGCCGATCCCCGTCCTCCAGCGTGATCAGCCCTCGTTCCTCGATCTCGGCCGCTGTTTCTTCCTCCTCCTTCCCAGGCGCCTCGTTCGCCCAGCGCTGCCCCCGTCGCCACGTCGACCGTCCTGTCAGCGACAGATGCGTCAGCCGCGGACTCCGAACAATCAGTTCCTTTAACGACGCCGGGCGGTGCACACTCCCCCTTCCCCTCCCCCTCCCCCTCCCCCGGCCCCGATCTGGGACCGGATCATACTCGCCGCGGAACCACTCCGCCGCGACAGACCGGAGACACGCGAGCTGCGGAGCCCCCCGGCTCGGCTGATGCAGGTGTATCCTCTGGGTCAGCGCGACCTGGGAACTGAGGATATGCACCTCCGTCGCCGGGGAGACCTCGTAGAGGCGCCGGAGAATCACCCCGGGCATGTACGTCTCGTACCACCAGCTACAATCCCCCCAAGAAATGTAGTCAGCGAGCAAGCCCACCTGAACCAGACGGAAGAGACTCAACTAAAAGCGCCGAAGCTCCCTCGCCGCCCCAAACAGATAATACAGCATCGCCTCCTGGGCATCCGACATGACGTCGAAGTTGCCACCAAACCACCCATACGGCTGGTGGCCCGTCACGACGATCGCCCGCACAAACGCGCAGCACCGCACGGGCGGATCGGGCGCGGACCACGGGCGTTTCGCCTCCTTTCGCGCCCAATCCATCCCGCCGTTGAACGCGAAATGCAGGGTCCGGAATAGGGCTGATGCGGCGACGGGGTACAGCGCTTGGCTGGTCTGCGCGAGGGCTTTCAGGGCGGTGCGGTCGGTCCAGAAGAGCTTGCGGTTTGGAGGTTAGTTTGGTGGGCTGGACAGAGGGGGAGAGAAGGGAGGGGTGCGTACGAAGGTTACGATGTGATGCCAGATTTCGGGGGGCAGATTTCCTGGTAGGGATGGGGTTGCTGGTTCGGCGTCCATGGTGTTTGTATTGGTGGGTGTGGGGTGGATGGGGCGCGGGTCGGAGAGAAAGGGGGACGGGAAACGGGGAACGGGGGAGGAGAGGGGATCTTATAGCGGGAAGACGGGGCGGGTCGAGCCCTAAATGGTGTTCCTGGCGGGGAGGCATTCACCTGAGCATAACGAGGACGGACCACGAGTGATGTCATGAATCCTGATTCAAAGTAAATCGGATGTGTAGATTTATAGGGTCAATATTCTACGATCGCGAATCTCATCTTTGTGAGTCACAGCACTCCTAGGCCACACGAGCCGCTCATCGTGTCTAGGAACAGAACAACGGCCGTGCCGCTACGCTGGCATATGAGATCTACTGCGAAACTCGGGTGTCGGCCGTTATGGAAGAAAAGTTCTTATTTCTCACTAATACAAGAGATCTACACAGAGAGAGAGAAGGAGGCCAGCGACAAATCCACACGTCTACGGCGCCGCCGCCGTCGTCACCGTCATGGTCGTCGTCCCCGTGGTCATGACACACAGCTTCTCACACTCGATCTGCACATCCGAAGAAGCTTCCTCCATACACTCAGCGCGGGCCTTGGGGGTGCTGGGACACGAGGCGATGCGGAAGTTGAACAGGAAGGTGACGCACGAGTAGTAATTGCCGGTGACGCACAGATCGCTGAGGGCGGTGGTGGTGATGACCTCGGTTTCAGTGGTGGTGGCGGTGACCAGCGTCGTGCTGGAGCCCGCGCATTCGGTCAGCTCGTAGCCCGCGACGTCGTAGATGGTGGTGGACTCGCAGGCGATCACGTCGCTGAAGAAGTCGGTGAAGGTGTAGGGGTACGGGTTGTTGGCGTAGTCGATGGAGACGGTGGTCGAGGCGCCCGCGCAGCTGGTGACGGTCGTGCCGTCGCTGACCTTCTTGGTCGTCGAGGCGCACGCGATCTGGTCGCCCAGCGAGTCCGTGAACGTGTACGGGTACTTGTTGGTCGAGGTCGAGGTCGGCAGCACCGTGTAGCCGCACGGGTTGCTGCCCGTCATCGTCGGGATGTTGCTGGCCGCCCCCGTGCACACGCAGAACGCCCCGCTAATCCCCGCGTCCGGGTCCTCGCCGATCACGCACAGCGGGTCGCTGGAGGCTGAGGCGCTGGCTGTGGTGGTGGGAGACGAGCTGATGGTACACGCCGCCGCCGTGGTCTCGGTGTCGGCCTCGTCGCGCCGCTTCAGTGCCGGGTTGGCGTCAGCGGTGAAGTCCCAGGTGATGCTTGTGGAGCACACGCTCGAGTACTTGCTTTTCAGGGCCGCGTAGCCCGTGAGCATATCGTTGGCCTCGTCCAGCGCGTTGGTCAGGCCGGAGTTGCCGGCAATGGTCGTCAGCAGCGCCGACTCCGCGTCCATCACCGTGATCAGCGTGTCGATATACCCTTGCACCGTCGTCGTGACCGTTGAGTAGGTGTTCATGAAGTTGGTGAACTGCACTGCAAACTTCTTGGTGTCGGTGTCGGAGTACGTGCTATCGAGATTGGCGCTGATCCAGTTGTCCAACGCAAGCCTGGCAAGGGAGAGTGATTCGCCGTTAGTATGACTACAAAACACACACCCGCATAGCGAAGACTCACATCTTGTTGTAGATCCGGGCGTTGGTCGATTGCATGTAGTCATTGACGTTAGTATCGGTGATGACCACACACGAAGCCGCCATCTGCCAGAGCAGCTCCATCTTGGAGCGGAACTTGGTGCGCGCTCCCATCGACTGCAGGGCATTCGTCTCGGCGGTTCCCACCCAAGGCGTGGTTGCCTTGATGGCTCCAACTCCCTTCGTGTTGGTCCAATTCTTGAAGGTCTTGCCTCCGTAGTCCTTTTTGGCAATCGCCGCCTTGAGGCGATTGAGTACCTTGCTGATTCCAATGAACTCAAAGTAGTCATCCGATGCAATGGCCGAGTAGATCTACCAGGGAGAAAAGGTCATGAGAGTCAGCGGGAGAATGTACTTGGGCCTCGACGGATACTCACGCTCTGCAAGCGATTGCCGCAGCCGAAGAAGATGACTTCGGCGTCAGCGCACGAGAAGGTGCTCGTGGTGGCACCGGTAAACATCTGGCTGAAGAAGTCCTTCAGCCATCCCATTTCCCCTGTAACACGTGGTCAGTTTCATGTCGATTGTTCCAAGGTAAGCTGAGGCGAGGAGATACTCACAGGCATGGTCCATCGTGGCCACGTCGCCAAAGTCCGTCGGCAGGTCAGCGACAGCCACCTGGGTCACTTCCACCGCACAGCCCGCGGCCGTGGTGGTATGATACCACCGCGGCATGTCCGTCTGCGAGCCTACAATCAGACCGTTCGTCTCACTGTTGTACCAGTCGTATCCGTTGGTGTAGGGGGGCACGGTGACGGTGGTATCCGCGCCCAAAGCGCATTTGCCCACCGATTTGATCGTCTCGCGCTTGGCCCCTTCGCGTTTCTCAATAAATTTGCCATGTGCACCTGGGGCCCTGGCCGGCGCGGTGGTCATCCTTGCGCTCGCGGGCTCAGTCCTTCGGAGTCCGGTCACTGTCGCAGTTGCTCTTGCTGTTGACGTCGGCATCATCACGGTGCCGGTGCCAGTCATCCGGGGAAGATCCGCGGCCACTCCACGACGTTTCAGGTCGATGGACGGCCACGCATACTCGGATTCCGCCAGCATCGGCCAATCGTCCTCGTACGAGGCGTCATCGTCGCCGTAGAACGGGATAAAGTGCCACGCACATGCCTGGCAGCCCGAAAAGCTATCATAGTTGAGCGCCAGATCCGCTCCCGTCGCCACGGCGGGACAGGCGGCCGTGGTCTCCGAAGTGAAGGTCTTCGTTGTGGCGGTCATATCGCATCCGGTCACCGAGTAGCAGGTGGTCGAGGTGCAATCCGTGGTCGCAATGGCGGATTCGGTTGCAATGGTGCAGTACACGTCGCAGTTCGAGGTCGTGGTCGTGCTGGAACATGTCGTAGTGGTCGAGGAGTCATCGTCGTCGTCGCCATCGCCACTGCCTCCACCAGTAATGTCTACCCCGATGGGGCAGATAGGGCAGTCAGAATCACAGAACAGTGCACCTACCACGCAGGCTCAGAGGTTAGCTTCTCTGTGACATGAGGAAGAAGGGAGAATAATCACTGACAACCAGTACCACATCCCGCACAGCCCGCTGTTGCCGTCGGGCTTGGAGGCTTGCCACTCGTCCATTTGGTGGTCTTGCTGTTGAGCTTGGTATCGTGAGTGGTGTCCGTGGTGCTGGGATAGACGACCGGTGTCACCGTCGTAGTCACGGGAGGCAGAATAGTTCCCGAGATCACCGTAGTTGAGCCACCCAGAGTCTCGGTGACAGCCGGCTCCACGTAGGTGTAGTCGCCCCAGACGACGACGTTGGACGTCTCGGTGGCGGTGGTAGTGGCAGCCGACACCACGGTGGTGCCTCCGATGGTACTAGAATCATGGTCAGTCACATCCAACAGCCGGGGTGGAACGGGGGTTGCGAGCACTTACGGAGTCCAAGTAATAGCAAACGGTGATGGCTCGACCGAGGAGGTCAGCCAGATCGTGCCAGTGGTGCTGCCATTGGGGAGATTGACGCCCCAGACAGGAATTGCGGTCGTCTGCACCGGAGGAATGCTGATGATGGTTGGGAACCAGTAGCTAACGTGAGAGGTGACTGCCGTCACATCCCCGCCACTGGAGGCGGACGTCGTCTCAGTCACCACGGTAGTGTAGGTCAGGGTGGTAGTCCAGGGGGGCAGGGTGATGGTTGTCGTGCTGCTGAGGGGCTGAGGGGGCCAAATCAACGAACATCCGGGAACGGCCGTCACTGATGGACTGTCTTCGTCCCAGATTGATGGATTAATGTACACTTCGCAGCTCGATCCCTCCGAGGCCGAAGTCGACCCGTTGGAGGTGAGCAGGTCGATCGCCCAGTCGGCAATTCCCAAGAAGTTGTAGCCCTCGTAGAGTTCGGCGCGGCTCGCTTTGATATCATCGTCCATATAGCCCGCCCACTGGGTGTCGTTCCAAACCATAATGTTGGAGTTCGAATCTTCGTCAATGTACGTATAAACCTCCTCTTCTTCCGCAATCCCTGCGAGCTCGGCATTGGAGATATACCCAGCAGTGTCCGTGCAAGCGCCTGGAACCGCTCCCGAATCCGGGCCGGTGAAGGTGCATTCGGGGCCGTAGCAATCGGCCTCAGTCATTTGGAAGGATCGGGCGTAGCTCGCTACTCCCACAGCCACCATATTCGAGGGCACGCCCGCCTTAGTGATCATCGATAAGGCACTGACAGTCTCTGTCAAGTTCACATGGGACCGCAAGCAACCGCCTTGGGGACAGCCCGGATCAGCATACGTATTGTTCCAGTCCCACTGCCCGTGCAGATCGTAGGCCATCAGAACAATATAATCCACCACCTCACTGATGGCCATAATGGGAATGCCCTTCAAGTACCAAAACGAGGAAGGTGCCGTCGTTGAGATAGTCTTATCCGGGGCATCAATTGCCATCTGCATCTGCAGCTCCAGAAGAAAGAGGAAGAAATTGGTCCCGTCATCCGTACTGTCGGCAGGAATATCTGGAATATCTGGCTCAGCAGGATACTCCCAGTCCCAGTCCACACCGTCGAGATCGTAGGTGGTGAGTAGATCAATGGTATTCGTGATCAGGGTAGCCCGGTTAGTGCTATCGGAGACTGCAGACCGAAAGATGTCGTACGTGTCCGCGTCGGTCGAGAAGTCCCATCCACCCACAGTGATGATGCGCTTGACTCCATCCAACTCGACAAAGTCATTCCACTGATCTTCCAGGCTGGAGATATTATAGGACAGGTCTGCATTCAGCGTGGCGAAGGACATGTGGATATGGGTGTATAGACTCGTATCGATATCCGCAATCATGGTACGCATACAGGCGCGCTCCACATCGTAGCCCTCGAAATATCCAATCTTAAAGACCTCGCTGGGAGCGTCACTCTGTACAATCTCGGTTCCACAGTTCGAGATACAACCGTTCGTGTTATTCGCGGCCGTGCCCGGGTTGCCTGTGGTTGACTCGGTCGGGGTACAGAACTCTGCCGTAATACCACACTGCCCCCAGATATCACAACAGGCGTTCAGCGGGCACTCGTTCAGGGTACTAAGATTTGTTCCATATGGAACACTGACTGTGCCATTCACTTGCGGCCCGCAGACGGCGTTGGCGATCACCGCAGGCATCGGGGGATAACCCGAGCTCAGACACATGTATTCACCGACGAGAAGATCACCGCAGCCCAACCATCCCCATGTCTCGGTATTGTAGCTCTCGATCTCGTCCTTGGTCAGAGTATATGTGGCGGCGAGGACGTCGCAAGAGTCGCCGGTCTGAATCAGGTATGAGTAACAATAACCATCTGCATCAGGCGAGGGGGCATAATCTGGAGCGGATCCCTCCGTGCAACAGATATACTCGCCCACAGTCAGGTTCGAGCATAGGGTGGAACTGGGGTTGTAGGTACTGAGCTCAGTCGCTGTAATGCCACACTCGGTCGCTAGTGTCGCACACGTATCCCCGGAAACCACCTGCACTGCCGTACAAGTCGTGCTGTCATCGTCATCGTCACGCGAGCGAAGCTGACTCCGGGCATACCGCTGACGAGCCCAGAGACTGGTGGAGTTGGCTCGGGCGTGTGACACAGTGGGGATCGAATAGGTGAGATTCTGCCAGACCGTGCTATCATCCAGAGTGGTTATGCAGCTACTGTTGCGCCACGTCTGCACCGCAGTTTGAGCGGCCGACAAGTCTCCGCTGGCACTGATGATGACGCCGAAGGCGTACCGGGCACTGTGCTGACTGCTGCAGAGCTGCACCATTAGAGTTTCGGAAATCCCCTTGTCTTGAATCTCTTCAATGAGCGACTCAAGAATGGGAGCAAGAAGGTTCTGGCCGTGGAGGCTGCTGCCCATATACAGACCCACCGTGGTCTGTCCCGCGAGGGCAAAATTGATGGTCTCATTACAGGCAGCCGACGGATTGAGTGTCTCGTAGGCCAGAAGCTGGGTCAACGCGGCGACCGCGTCGCTATCAGAGGATGCTGCCGACGAGGCCGTGTCGCGGGAAATCTGCAGAGACGAGACCACGGAGGTCATGTTGGTAGGCATCAGACACGAAGTACTTCCAGTTTGCGCGGTGGTGTCAGCAACCAGGTCCGCCGTGCAGCCACGAAGACCGACTCGACTCTGAGACTGATTGACAGTGGTGTATAGAGCGAATTGCAGTAGCATTGTCTCATCACACAGAGAGAGCCGGTGGATGCCGGGGTAGACCGGCCAGGCCGACGAATCGAGTCCCAGGTCAGTACAACTTCCTGGACAAGCAGCGCGAAGGAACTCCCATGACCGCGACGGAGTGTAATTTCCCGCCACTACGGCAGCTTTCAGGTCCTCCAAGTCGACCGTGGCCTTTGGCTCAGAGGCCGACCGTGTACTGATTGGGTTGGCACTGAGAAAGGCCGACAAGGCTGACTGAGCATCGACACTGTCTGCGACGACCCCTGGACCCAGCAGGGCTAACCCAGTCGTGAAGGCTTGGGTCATGCGAGGGGGCTTCATGGTAGCTCAGACTCCGAAAGCAGAGTATGTCGTTTAATCAAGAGAGAAGATTGAACAAATGAAGGTATCCAAAGAACAAAATAAAGAAATAGAAAAGAGAGGGAGAAAGAGAGAGAGAGAGAGAGAGAGAGAGAGAGAGAGAGAGGAAAGAGTGACAAAGAGAGAACGTGGGAGGCTATAGGAAATTCAGGGTCAACATAGCGACTGTGAAGAGCTTGAAGCAATGACAAAAACAGTGCAGCGGGCAATGCGCTCGCTTTATACCATCCTCAAAGTCGCCTCATCTCGCGCACCCCCCTCCGCCGTCAAGACTGTAGATACTAACACTGCCTCAGAGGACATTACTCGACGCAACGCTAAAGCACCACACAACCACACCAGACGCCATCGTCTGTAAGTTGACTTACGCAACACAATCAATCCATACTGGACCAACGCAAGGCTATCCTCTCATTTCATTTTCCAGGTGGAACCTATGCTTTGGCTACTAGTGCAGGAGCAGACTTGAGCCAGCGGCATGCATGTATCTGCCCCGCCTTCACGCCACTTCTGCAAACCACGAGGCATTCGCCAAGTCAGAACGAAGTTAGACCGAAAGAAACTTAGTCTTTAGCCCCCAAACTGCCTATTCCATGTGCCGTGAAAAATTGAGAGATCAGACAATCGATCAACCATATATCGCTAGCTCTGGGACTAACATTGAGGCTAGCTCCGTCCTGCAGGATGCCCAGGATGCCCAGGATGCTTTTGCCTCCTTGTCATTCTAGCCTGGACTATGGTTGGCTCTTGGCTGTCGTTGGGGCTCCGCGCTTAGCGAGCTTAGCAGAGCTTCGCTTATTGTATTGAGGCTTGGCAGGGGGGAGACTATGCCGAGTCAGGCAGTCAATGCCGGCCCTGAGTGCCAAGAAGTTACCTATCATACTGTTCCTAGTACTGTTCCTAGTACTGTTCCTAGTACTGTTCCTAGTACTGCTCCTAGTAACAGACCTAGTAACTGACCTAGTAACTGACCTAGTAATTTACCTTCTACTCCGGCCATCCTTTAACGGTGGAATAGTGGGAGGGTTCGCATTTAGAATAATTCTAGGAGGTGTAGTATGTGCCTGACCGAGCCTCCCTCCCTTTTGGGCTCTATATAAACGATACGTCGGTTCATCGCTTTGTTCGGCAGTCGATCAAGTCTCCTGCACCCTTGCTGGTCGCTTTCTCAACTAAAATGGCTTTTAACACCCTTATCGCATCAGTTCTGGTGGCGAGCCGTCTCACTGCGGGATACTTGATCGCCCCCTCTGGCACCGCATTTCCCGGGGCAAACTCAGACTGCAGTGAATGGGTTACCTACACGACCGGCTTGACCTGCGCCGACATCGAGGCCACATACTCGATCACCGAAGAGGATTTTCTTGCATGGGTAGGTCAACTCTTGCATCCCGCGACGTGCAGGGTCTGACACATGAAAATAGAATCCCTACCTCTCGCTACTGTACACCGACTGCAATTTGGTTGCGGGCTATGACTACTGCGTGGACATCGACTTTGAGACCTTCGGGACCACATCGTCCTCATCAATCTCGTCGACCTCGTCCACAACATCGCAGACTTCCACTCCATCTGTCGCGAGTACATTGATCACAAGCACCATCTCTGCTTCCACGACCGGATCTGCGACCGTGGCGAGCGCGGGATTCACTACACCTTCGCCCATTCAAACAGGCATGACGGCCACATGCGACGAGTTCTACCTCGTGGTCTCCGGAGACACGTGCGCGGCCATTGCCTCTAATGCCGGTATTGCACTGTCCGACTTCTACGCCTGGAACCCTGCGGTTGGTAGCAGCTGTGCGGACCTCGACATCGGTGATTATGTGTGCATCGGGGCAACGGGGAGTGCAATCTCATCCACAGCAGCAACAGCCACGGTCACCAGCAGCGGTACGGGCATTGTTACGCCAGCCCCGATTCAGACCGGCATGACCGCCACCTGCGACGCGTTCCATCTCGTCGTCTCCGGAGACACGTGCGCGGCCATTGCCTCCGATGCCGGTATTGCACTGTCCGACTTCTACGCCTGGAACCCTGCGGTTGGCAGCAGTTGCGCTGACCTCGATGTTGGTGATTATGTGTGCATCGGGGCGACTGGGACTGTAACCACAGCCACAGCCACAAGCAGCGGCACTGGCATCGTCACGCCCGCCCCGATTCAGACAGGCATGACCGCCACCTGCGATGCGTTCCATCTCGTGGTCGCCGGAGATACCTGCTCGGTCATTGCGTCCGACGCGGGGATCGCACTGACTGACTTCTACGCCTGGAACCCTGCTGTCGGCAGCAGCTGCGCTGACCTGGACGTGGGCGATTATGTGTGCATCGGAATTGAGGGAGGCACCACCACTGCTACTGCGACGACAACATCGGCAACGACAACCGGCAATGGAGTCACGACTCCCACTCCGATCCAGACGGGCATGGTGTCGGACTGCGATTCCTTCTACTATGTGGTCACTGGGGACGGCTGCTCGAGCATCGCGAGCGCGGAGGGGGTCACCGTGGCTGAATTGGAGGAGTGGAACCCGGCCATTGGGACGGATTGCACGGATTTGTGGACCGAAACCTATATTTGCGTGGGAATCTTGTAGTTCGATCCGGAAGTTATTGTACCCCAATGTAATGTATAGGCGAAGAGGTCATTCGGGCACGCGGCTGAATTGTTCTCGCATTTTGGTCTATATGCAGTTTCGAAGTTGGTTTTTGAACATGTTCAGGTTGTTAAAAGGGACTTTTTGCTTAATCGACCCTTTGTGTAGAATGTTTCTCCTCCGGCGCCATCTGCATCAACACAAGACCCGGCAGCACTAGAACTTGTTTTTCTTGTTTTTTCCCCTTCGACTCTCAGCCAGCTGGATTATCTTAGATTTAGCCTTAAAGCTCTTCGATTCTTTCGGAATCAAATGCCAAATCCGGACAGTACAGTACTATCCAATCTAACTCTCCCGGAAAGTGTCCGGCCTTGCACTATTGAAAAATCATGGTCCCTAAGTTAGTCCCGACCAGCCCCTGCTTGTCGGAGATTAGATTAGCGTAATTAGCACCTCGTATCCAGCCGCTCCTCGTGGCTCGATCTTAAGTTTGACGTTCCTGCAGGACTCCTGCATCCTGCGTCGGAACCGAATTGTTTTTGGCCCCCATGCACTAGTATATCCAAACTATATCTTAGCGGATCCGAACAGACCAATCCAAACCGAGGCCTGGAGGCTAGAATGGTGAGGAGTGCAGAGATTTATCTGAGCTAAGGGACGTGCGGCGGAGGTAATCTTACTCTTAAGTCGGTTGCTCAGAGCTTCCGCACATTGACGTTGGTGCATCCGACATACGTTCTTGTCGGGAGAGAAATATGAAATGCTCTTTGGAACCTGTTAGCCGTAAGTTACGGATAAAGGATGTTACCGCCGCCGTACTGTATTGTACTGTACTGTACCTAGTTATACCTGTCAGCGGTCCACTGGTCATGCTGCTGCTCACCGCCCACCCCGGTGGTTATCTCTGTAGCCTGACGGCCCTGAATTGTCTACCTATTCACTTATCCACGTCCCCGACGAAACCTTATCCACCGTGCTGCGCTGCTCTAGTACATTCATCTTCCTCAAACCTAGATGAACTAGCCATAATCACTGCAACACGCACCTAATCTTCTCATTAAACTTCTCTTTCTCCTTAAGTCACGGAATGTGACCGCTCTCCGATTGCGCCCAACCATACATACCCACAAGAATGCCATTCTGTAAATTGCAGTTCCCCGACTCTTTCGTCGGATGGCTCCACCTCCTCACCCTGACCTACGCCATCTTCATAATCCTATCCCAATGGCGCCAAGAACGTCTCCAAAGCCGCCTTCGGGCAGCTCCCATCCCCCACCCCCCCGAACCAGACCCCTCAAAGCAAGACGAAGCAGACCCCGCCCAAGACATCCCCGTCCCGCGCCTCCCCTACAACGAAACCACCCTCGTCGCCCTCATCACCGAGATCTACCGCACCTACCAGCAACTCAACTACATCAGCCCAGACGAACTCATCTGGCCCCCAGCCCACGGAGCCGGCCACGCGATCAACGAGCCCCTCTGCGCGGCCCTGCACCTCGACCCCGCCGTGATCTCGCTGATGAAGCGCCTGCCCTACCCCCGGACCTCGCGGCTCGCCGAAACCGTCCCGATCACCCCGCTCTCGCGCGCCTTCGTCTACCTCGAGGACGAGGAGATCCGCGGCGGTCGGGACCCCAAGCGGTACGGGCATGTTGACGAGCTGCGGGGGGATGTCTTGCGCCCGCAGGAGATCGCGCTGAGCTGTCCCGCGGATGAAGGGGAGTGTTGGATTTTGGATGTGGCGGAGAGTAAGCCCCCCCCCTCTCCTTTCCCCTCTCTTTATTCCTGTTCGGGTAGAGGCTGTATGGCGAGAGTTCGAGCGGTTGATCTGGAGATGATACGTAGATACCATTCGAGTCTGGGAGTGGGATGGGCTCCAGTCCAGCGGCAGCGGCGACGACGCCATTGACTTGCGCGCGTATCACGCCCACCACGCCCCGACGTTTCTATCGGATCATTTGGAGAAGCTGCGGGCGCTGCAGATGATTCCCTGTGGTCACAGCGGGGCGCGGGGCTACTGGGTTCTGGATTCGGGTGAGGTGGTGTGTTGCCCCCCCCTCCCCTTTCTCGCTTCTTGCTTCTTCCTGCAATCGCGATGCTAAACTGCAGGGCAGTATCCTCGGATCAAGAGAACGCTGCAGGAGCAGTACGGCTGGCCGTATGATTTCCGGGAGGCGGAGTGGAAGGCGGCGGCGGAGGAGATCTGGGAGCGGCTGTTGCCGTTTTGATCCGGCTTTTTAGATGAGGGGTTCCACCTGGATATATGCACCGGGTGATGAAGAAGGATGATGGTCTTGTATCGTTGTTAGGCTTATGCTAAAGTATAACTTACTGGGCTACACACTTGGTAAGAATATAGTCTGGCCCGATATACACACCGAGGGCAGCTGACCTACCACACTTACCCACGCATCGCATGCGTAAGGTACCCAGCCTGTCCCCGTCGAGATGTCGAAAGCATCACGAAAATCCACTCTTAGGGCTGAGACTCCTGGACGTGTTATTCGGTACGTGACGACAGGGGTCAGCCTGGA